ATTTATAGGAGGCAACCGATCAATGTTTCTCTCTCTCTCTCTCTCTCTCTCTCTCTCATTCTTAAAAAGTAAAATAAAATATAGAGAGAAAAGGATACAAATTATAATTGTGGCTCAGTTGGTGGGAGTGCCAACTCAATCTTCACAAGTGAATGCCCCCATGCAACCAGCACTGACCTCTCCTGCCCCGCGTCCCCTTTCGGCAGCAAGAGGACCCGTCTCCTTAGCACGAGACTAAACGATACCCATACCCTCAAACCTGACCCCATGTACTAGTTTTGACTGTTTTTGAACTCCATGTGAATGGGAGTACAGTCTCTTTTGATTTTGGTTTCTTTCATTCCGTATTATTTTTGTGAAATTCCTCCACTTTGTGTGTAGTTTTGGTTCATCCATTCTCAAAACTATGCAGTATTCCACTGTGTAAAGTTCAGTTACCTATTCTACTCTTGAGAGACATGTGAGTAGTTTCCAGTTGAGGCTCTTATAATTAGTGACGCTATGAACATTCTTTTTCACGTTCTTAATGAATGTATTTTTGTATTTCTGTTGGGTGTTTCTAGAGTTGGGATCTGGGTCGTAGACAGATAGCTAGATTCAGCTTTAGGAGATACTGCCATAGCCAGGGCTGACATATTGAAAGGTAATTTGGGTGTGAGTAAAGAACAGAACGTGGTAGTGGGGGTGGCAGCAAGAGTGGAAATGGAGGCCAGAGAGTCTACTGTAACACCGCTGGAAAGGATGGCCAGTGGCTTTGACTGGGACCACAAGGGAGGGGGTGGAAAGAGACATTCTCAACCAGGATTAAACAGGGAAAGCTGATAGGGCCTGACTGATGCCGGTTGGATGTGGGGAGACGAGGGAACGAGGAATCAAGGTCACTAGTTAGGTGTTTGGTTTCAACAATGAGGCGGACAGTTGTGTCGGTTACTGAGATGGAGACCAGCAGAAAAATCATAGGTGTGGGGGAGAATCAACAGCCCCGGTTTGACCACGTTAAGTTTGAGAGGCCAATCAGGTACCCAACCGGTGATGTCAAGTAGACAACTGGAGCTCAGTTAGATGTCAGGACCGGAGAAAGAAACTTACGGCCACCAGCAAATAGGTGTTGGGTACCACTGAGAGGTTCTAGTAAGATGGAGAGGTCACCACCGGTGCTGTCAACATGGAAGTCACCGGTATGCTAGCAAGAACTCGGTGAGAACGTGGAGTGGGAAACCCAACTGGAGTGGATTGGAGTAAATGGGAGATGAGCAAGTAGAGTAACAGGCAATAATATTGCTCAAGAGGTCTTGCCATAAAGAACACAGAAGTGGAAAGAACACGAGAGAGGAATCTGGGTCCGAGGGAGGGTTTTTCTCAAGATGGGAGAGATTTGTCATGTTTGGAAGTGATCCAGAAGGGGGGGGGGTAAGTGTCACATGGGGAAAAGAACAGATAACCACAGACGCACAGACCTCAAGAGACTGAAAGGGGACAGGTTCCAGTGCACAAAAGGAGGAGCTGGGTTTCGCTGGGAACAGGGATGTGTCCTTCAATGGAAGAGGAGGAAAGGCAGAAGTATTTGCAGGCTGACAGACTTGGTGGTAAGATGAAGTTCTCATTCGCTTGCTTTCTCAGTGACGAATAAGCCAAGGTCGTGAATTGGAGGTAGGAGGAGAGGGAGGGATATTGAAGGTTTGGGGAGATAAGGAGCTATGACAGTCATTTGGAGCGTGGAAGAATAAACCTGTCAGGAGCATGTAGTAGGGTCTCAGGCAGTGTGGTGCACCCAACTGAGATCTGTACACATGAATTTAAAGAGACCAGTCATCAGCGATCACTTTTGATTCATTCCCACATAGGAATGAATGGAGTTTGGTAAATATAGTGGTGCTTTGAGCAACTGTTCACTGAATAAACAAATGAGTGGAGGATCATATAAGACAGTTAGATAAGGGAAGAGAAATGAAAATACAGAAGGAATGTGTATCTGCCGTCTTACAACCTACTTGAATACAAAACACAATTATCTGAGAACAAAGCCATATTTCAACAAGCACAAACATATTAAGTTTTCAAGTTGAAGTTATAAATTCTGGACAAATGCAGGGTAAGGGGGGTGGGGTCTGGGTAGAGGTGGGCAAAGTTAGGGTTAAGGGGAAAAATAAAGAAAAAAAATGCAGGGTAATGGCATACTTAAAATAAGATGAAGAGACCCTGGGCCAGGTAGCTCAGTTGGTTAGAGCATTGTCCCAATACGCCAGGGTTGTGGGTTTAACACCCGGTCAGGGCACCTACAAGAGTCAACCAATGAATGCATAAGTAAGTGGAACAACAAATTGATGTTTCTTTCTCTCTCTTCCTTCCTTCCTCTCTCTAAAAAAAAAAAAAAAAAAAAAAAAAATCAATAGAAAGGGAAGGGAGGGAGAAAGAGAGAGAAACATCAATGTGCGGTTGCTGGGGGCTATGGCCTCGCAAGGCAGGCATGTGCCCTGACTGGGAATCAAACCTGCGATGCTTTGGTTTGTAGCCTGCGATCAATGCACTGAGCTATGCCAGCCAGGGCAAATAAAAAATGTTTTAAAAATAAGGTGAAGTTAATTCGGAAGAGCATTCCTGAAGTGAAGTTTCAGATCTGACTTCAATTTAATTAGGAACAAGTGTTAATAGAAAACAGAGCAAAAGGGGAAAAAATAGATGTTAATAAGCAAGGTGGGTAGTACGGGCTATGTTGTATGTTGTGTTGAATGAGTGCAAGAGGACCATGAGTCTGAAGGCAGGGATAACTACATAGCTTAAAGAGTAACCCCGTCACGCTAAACACTAACAGATAGCTTATCTGACGTGGCTCCCGTGTACCCAGTCCCTGCCTTGTGTCCTGGCACCAAGCTAGTCATTTAAAATATATATGATTTCCAATACAAAAACCCTAGAGAATTACATCTTGTTTATTAGTAGTGACCAAAATTCCACCTGTCAGATGAGGGAATTGAGACGCGGCATTTCAGGAATTTTACCAAGCTACCACGTTTAGTGCAGAGCTGAGGCGGGATTTGAAACCGGGTCTCCCTGGAGCCAAAGGCCACTGTCGGTCCCACTTCATTTCACCGCATATTCCCCTTCCCCTTGCACTCAGCGCAGAGGCCTGCCCAGCACAAATGTGTTGCAGCAGTAGTGACCCCAAAATGTGAACCAGGTGACCTGTTCTTGCACTTAATCCCATTGGTTCCCGAACAACCCTCTTCCCCTACTTCCACCCTACTTCCCACCCCCACCCCAAGGGTCCTCCAGTTTCTTCAGTGCGACAGACTCTTTCTGTCCCCTGGGCGCTTGCCTGTGCTGCACCTGCACCTTTGAAGGCGCATTCCCTCCCTCTTCCCAAGCTACCCCTTTCCATCCTTCAGATCTCAGAGTAATTGTTGCTCCCTCTAAACCGCCTTCCCTGGCCAGTCTGCCTAAAATAGACTCCTGTATCAGCCATGCATTTCCTAACGTTTATCATGTTTTGTGATTGCGTTGTCGGTTTACTTTCTGGTGTCCTTCCCCAGTATTAAGCCCCATGAGGCCAGAGAACTTGGGACTTGTTTACCTTTGACTTCCCAGGACTGTGCTGGGGCACTACAGGGGACACTAGTCGGACATGGCTATTCAGGACTGTAGTTGTGGCCCCTGCGGTGAGTGGAAAATTCTTACTGGGTTTCAAAGACTTGGTATGAGAAAGGAATGCACATGATCTCAATGTTTTAAAATATTGATTACATGTTGAAATGATATTTGGAAAAACTAGGTTAAATGTGATTAAAATTAAATTTCACCCGTTTTACTTTTTAATGTGCCTACTATATATATTTTTCAAAGACTTTATTTATTTATTTATTTTTAGAAAGATGGGAAGGGAGGAAGACAGGGAGAGAAACAACAATGTGCCCGAGACACATCGACTGGTTGCCTCCTGCACACCCCCGACTGGAGATGCGGCCCACCATGCAGGCACGCTCCCAGAGCAGGAATCAAACCAGTGACCTTCCGGCTCACAGGCTGGTATTCAATCCACTAAGCCACACCAGCCAGGGCAGAAGGTTTTAATTTACATAAGGGACTCACATTATATAGGGTCTGGCACAAATAGCACCCTTTTTTTATGAGCTGGTCATCTATACCAAGTCTTGTATTACAAAATCACAAGCATGTTAATTGTGCAACATCACATTATCATACTCAAGCAGACCATATGACATTTTAGGTGAAATGTTCGAATTGCTGTCCATCTTGTGCGAGACATTCCCGTACCCTACCAACCACACTCAAGCAAGCCTTACGACATAATTCGACAGTAATGTCAGCAAATTTGTCCCGAATTCTGTCTTTTAGTTCATCAATGTTGCGGGGTTCGGTCTTGTACACAAGATCTTTAAGGATACCCCACAAAAAGAAATCGGGCGGAGTTAGGTCTGGGGATCCATCCGGCCACTCCAGTGGCCCTCGGCGCCCTATCCACCTCCCTTCGAAATGCACATCCAACCATTCTCTGACACACAACGCATAATGTGGCGGCGCGCTGTCCTGCTGGAAGTAAACGCCAAAGTCCTGTTCAACTCTCGGCCACAATTCTGTTTGTAGGACATGGAGGTAATTATTCTGATTGACAGCACCATCAAAGAACACTGGCCCAATTACACCCATGACTGATATCGCTGCCCACACTGTTACCCCTGGTAAGTTTACGTCTTTCTCTAAGATAATATGTGGGTTCACATCGCTCCAATACACACAATTATGGCGATTGATATGGCCATTCAATTTGAACGTAGCCTCATCCGACCACCATATCTTGGTTGGAAAGTTCTCATCCTCACGTAATTTGGCCAAAAATCTTTCACAAAATTCTACCCTTCTGTCTGAATCTCCGTCATGTAAGGAATGTAGCAAACGTGGAATGTATGGCTTCATTTTCATTTTGTCCAGCAACCTTCGAACACTTCTGTCGCTAATACCGAGTTCCCCTGACAGACACTTACTGGATTTTTGAGGGCTTCGTAACAACGATGCCCGTAATTCGGCAGCCTTTTCTTCCGTCGTCGCTGAAACGCGTCTTCCTGACCTTTTGGCATCATGCACACTGCCGGTTGCCTCAAACTTCCTGATCAGACTCGTGATGTTACGACTCTGTACGAGCCGGATGCCAAATTCTTCACGTAACAACCGAGCGGTTGCTGCGCCGTTGCACTGGTTTTGATAGTACAGCTTCACTGCTCTCACTCGCTGCTCCCTTGTCAGTCGATGGGCCATTTTACTTCACGGAACCTGGAACACAAAGGGTAATAAATAAGGTTACTAAGACAACACGTCCGTTTATACTATACTATACTACTTTAAGAACCGTGTTACTTCCGCTGGACCCTGTATTTCTAGGTTCTGAAGGAGCGTTGTCTCAGAGCCTAGCAAAGTGTCCTGGTCCGTTTCATTTAGCAAAATAACCAATGTTAACAGACAGAAGTAATGGGTGAGTGGAGATACGGTCTTTGGCTTCCATTAGGAAAATGGGTACAGCATTGTCCTGGAAGTCAGGAGGCCTGGGTTCTGTTCCAGGATTTACTGGCATCACTGTGTAACCTACCCCACTCTGGGCGTCAATTTTCCCATCAGGCAGGTGATCTCTGAGGTCTGAAAGTGTATGAGAATAAGTGGTGGAGAACGGTGGGGAATCCTGGTCCTATAGACCTTGTCTTCTGTTTGGCTGTAGCACAGCGCCAGAGCTTCGGCCCACGGGAGGAGGCAGCAAGAATCGCAGACTAGACTCCCGAAGTCAGCGAGGACCGCCAGCTTCCTCGGACTGACGTCACTGGAGCGCGACGCCGTAGTCAGTCCGGTCCTCTAAGCGGCAGCGGCTCCCGCCAAGGCGAGCGCGGGGCTAACAGAGTTCAACAGCTCCTGAGCCTGTTTGAGACTCAAGTCTCAATAAACCAGCCCCGGCCCACTTCCTTCTCACTTTCCTCTCACCGGGCACAAGAACCTGGAAGACATGAATCCCACTCCAGTGTCCCGAGCCGACTCTCAGTGCGGCTGCGCAGGGCACGTGCGCGTCCTCGCCGGTCCGGCGATTGGCTGTGACGTAACTTCCGGCGTGAGTGGCGAAAGCCGGGAGGGCGAGCGACTGATCGAGCAGGCATCCAGCAGCAGGCAGCAGGCAGGCGGGCGGGCGGGCAGACGGCACAGTGGGAGGGAGCAAGTGAGCAGTGAGTGAACCAGCGAGGGCAGCCGCGTCCCGAGATCAGCTTAGATTCCCCTCGTCCCTCTGACCCCCTCCCCGGAGCCCACAGCGCCTCCGGTCTCCAGCGGAGCGGACACGGCCCGGCCCGGCCATGGCCTCGTTGCTGAAGGTGGATCAGGAAGTGAAGCTCAAGGTAGCGGCACCTGTCCGGGCCTCGTTACCCCTCGCTTCGATCCCCAAGCAGTCTGACCGTCTCCCCACTCCCCATGGCGTCTTTGTCTCCCTGGGGACACCAGCGCTGAGCTTCCGCTCGACTCAGCCCAGCCCCCCACTCCCGGAGACGGCATCGGGGAACAGGATAGTATAGGGTGGCCTTCTGTAACTCGTCTAGTGATGGAGAGCCCTAGGGACACTTCTGCGGACACGTGGTGAACTCAGTGCTTTAGGCTAGTGACAGCTGGAAGTTCCCCAGCCCCGCCTCCGGACGCTGCCGCTGTCCTTGGCGTCAGGCCTGCCTGAGGCCAGGTCTGGAAGGGATTGGCACGTTTGTGAGCTCACACCTCTACTATCTCCCTGCCTTACCTCTGCTCACAGAGGCAGACAGCCTCAGACACAAAGAGGGAGAGAGGGAAGACAGCCGGGCCCTGCCCTCAAGCCCTGCTTCCCTCTCCTGAGATGGAGAAATGGGTCCTCAAAAAGATAAAATACTTGCAGTCTGGGGGCCTCTCAGCTTCTCATTACAATTACAAGGTGAGGGAGAGACAGCTAGATTTGGTTTTCCCTGTCCTGCCCTCTCCTCCGTTGCCAGGTACTGACTTGCTCTTACTGAATTGCTCTTTGTTAATTTTAGGTTGATTCTTTCAGGGAGCGGATCACAAGTGAGGTGAGTGAAATAAATAGAAAAGTGAGTGCTGGTTAATAATTGGGAGTTTCCCAAAGGAGAGGGAACTGTAGAGCAAAACCATCCTACAATTCTTAATGTCATTTTTCCTCATTTTTAGGCAGAAGACTTGGTGGCAAATTTTTTCCCAAAGAAGTTGTTAGAACTTGATAGTTTTTTGAAGGTGAGAGACCCTTTTCCTCAGATTTCCCAATTTTTTTTTTTGACCCTGGTCTTTCTGTCAAATGGGACAAACCACGTGTTGATTCTGTTTTCTTTTGTACTGTGAAGCACTCTCATTTCTTGTTTCTGTGTTCATCTTGAAAAGACTAATATTCAGGGGGTGGGCGTCTCTCTTGCAGGAACCCATCCTAAACATCCATGACCTAACTCAGATCCACTCAGACATGAATCTCCCTGTCCCTGACCCCATTCTTCTCACCAATAGCCACGATGGACTGGATGGTGTAAGTGTCCTATATTTATCTTTGTCTTCTGAAGCAATAGGTTCTGTGTCCTCTATTTCCCGGTCAGTTCACACATGCACAGAGGAGATGTGGGATTTGGATCTGGGAATGTGGACTTTCACAGGCTCCATGACTCCAGTACACCCCCTTCAGACCCTGAATGTCATTTATAGAAGGAGGTGAATTTGCCAGTGCTACTCTGTGTTGGAGTAAGTTTCCAGTAGGACTAACAGCTACAGGTTCCCCCAGGCTTCCTGGTCTGTTCCCATGACTTTAAGCAGGACTTTTTTTTTTTTTTTACCTCTTTCAATGTCTTGAGTTTTGTTATGGGATAAGTACTTCCTGATATAAAATCACAGTCCCTGTCTTCGCTGTGCATCTTTGTTACCTAGTCCTTATCCATTAAATGTCCACATTCTACAACACTGGCGACATTGTATTGTTCTCTGTCTGCCTTACCGTCCCATTGTTAGAGCTTACAGTTCTGGAAAGCAGAACCTGTCTTAATCATCTCTGTATTTCCAGGCCCTCACGTTGTTCCTGGTACATAACAGGTGCTAAATATGTGTGATCGACTATTGTGTTTCTTTGTGGGACCAGCAGACTTGTACATTTTTCCTTCATTGTCTTGACCCTGCATTGAATTGTTCTTTTTTCCTGTTGTGTGCAGCAGCGATTTTCAACCAGTGTACCCCAAGAATTTGTAAAACATGCAACACCTGACTGTTTAGTCAGAGGCACTGACCTCTTTTCCCTTAGACTGTCAAATGAAACAATGACAGCAGCCAACACAATAGCCATCTGGTATGGGTGAACCAAAATCCTGCCTACTTTTTTGTTGGATCAGCAAAACGTATCTATTTTGGTGTGTTGCAGAATTTTAGTAATTAGTTTATGTGTGCCATGAGATGAAAAAGGTTGAAAGTCACTTTTGTATAGTATCCGTTCCTCTCCTCTAATTGCTTAATGTATTATATTTCCTGAAAGTTCGGTCTTACCAACTAGAATGTAAGTTGCTTTGTGGCAAGAGTCTTTTCTCAAAGCCTCGTATGTACTTAGTGAGTTGCGCAAATTAATAAGATAACTCGAGAGTCAAAGAAGTGACGAAACATGCGTGATGTGTAATTTGTGATAGGGGTGCAAGTGTTGAGAGCAGGCTAATCTCTGTCTGTCTGTTTCCTTAGCCCACTTACAAAAAGCGGAGGTTGGATGAGTGTGAAGAGGCTTTCCAAGGTAAGAGCCACCCCACCTGCCCCTGGCTTGCAGCCTTGAGAAGCAGGACGGGTCTGGGGTTCTCCTGGCCTGGAAGCAGGATCTGGTTTTATTTCCCAGTGTTAGCATTCCCACGTCTTCCAGATATGCTCATTATTTAATGGTGTCACTCTAAACTGGACTTTTCAGTGAAAAAGCAGGGTTTGACTTGGTATGGGCCGCCAGAGGAGAGGGACGGGGGTCGTGTGCATGGCAGATTTCTCACAGGGGTCCCAGGGCCATGTGTCGTCCCCCACCCCCCACGGTCCTAGTTGGTACCTTAAGTCGGTAGAGCATATTTTAATTCTCTTATTTTGTAGACTTTGGGCATACCGTGGCTGCTCACTTGTTAATCCATACATTCTGTCCTCGATGCTGTTCGTGGTATCGATGTTTGTTGTGACAGATGAAAGGCAGAGGCCATAGCATCTCGTGGGTCTGGGGAAGAAGGGAGACAGGTGGGGGTGCCATGTCCTGGCCCTCACCCCAACCACTCGGCCTCCTTCGTGTCCCTGCCAGGAACCAAGGTGTTCGTGATGCCCAACGGGATGCTGAAAAGCAACCAGCAGCTGGTGGACATCATCGAGAAAGTGAAACCCGAGATCCGGCTGCTGATTGAGAAGTGCAACACGGTGAGGCAGGGCCAGTGGCCTGTGGGCTGGCTTCAGATGGCCCAGGTGGAGTCCGCACAGTGACGGGTGGCGGGGCTGGGACTGGAGGTGACACGGGTGCTGCCAGCCTGAGTGTCTTGGCTTCTGTACTCCTGGCATCTGGCGCCAGCAACATGAATTGTGTGCTTCCTTGTATATATATGAGGACGTCAGCAGAAAAAGCTGTGGTCCTCATATATATATTTTGGGCTTTTCACCCTCCAGGTCAAAATGTGGGTACAGCTCCTGATTCCTAGAATAGAAGATGGGAACAACTTTGGGGTGTCCATTCAGGTAATGTGTTTCCATCGTACACTGGAGAAGGTTGGGAAGACACTCCTGCTTTGTCCATTGAAGTGACTTTTGACTTACTGTTTTGTGTGTTTATTTGTTTGTTTGTTTAGGAGGAAACAGTTGCAGAACTAAGGACTGTGGAGAGTGAAGCTGCATCTTATCTGGACCAGATTTCTAGGTAGGGCTGCCTGGGTGTGGCCCAAGCACTGGGGGCTGGCAGGGTGGGGAGCACTGTCCAGGGTCTCCTGCAGCTTTCTCCTCTTCTCTCTCCTTCCAGATATTATATTACAAGAGCCAAATTGGTTTCTAAAATAGCTAAATATCCCCATGTGGTAAGTACGGGTTCTGTGGCCCAAGGGTGGAGGTGGCAGGACAGGGAGGAGCGACCGTCCCGGGGCAAGAGCTGTCTGCGGACAGTCTGGCCTTGGGAGCTGGCCTCCTCTGTGCCCCTTCCTCCAGGAGGACTATCGCCGAACCGTGACGGAGATCGACGAGAAGGAATATATCAGTCTCCGCCTCATCATATCAGAGCTAAGGAATCAGTATGTAAGTACCCTTGGCCCCTGCCCACAGTTGCCTTGGTGTCTTAGTCCTGGTGATAAATTTCCTGTCATTCTCTGGGGGTTGAGATGGGAGACAGAGATAAAATGAACAGAATAAGTTCTGCTTGGCAACCGAGTGTTGAGAACTGTGAGATCATTGAGGGTGTATAGCTGGGTGTCTCCCTTCTCTGCCTCGATGGGGGGGGGGGTGCAGTGTAGCCTAAGGGCAAAGAGGAGGTCGTCGGAGTCCAATTGGAACCGATTCTACCTTTAAAGTGTGGCCTTGGGCAAGTTGTCGGACCTCAGACTTCCTTTTCTTCACCTGCAAAATGGGATTTAGAGTGTCTGCTGCACAAAGGTGGTTTTAAAACTGAGGGAGAGACCCCTGGCCGGTGGCTCAGGTGGCTGGAGCATCGTCCCGTGCACTAGAAGGTTGTGGGTTCAATCCCCCATTCAGGACACATACCCTATTCAGGGCAAATACTGAGAAGATCAAACGGCCCCTGGGCTGCGGGTTCGATCGGGCTGCATACGGGAGGCCACTGGTGGGTGCTTCTCTCACATCGGTGTCTCTCTCTCCCCCCCTTCCTTTGTCTCTAAAATCAATACACATATCCTTGGGTGAGGATTAAAAAACACATACATTTTTTAAAATGAGTGAGATGACCCATGGAAGGACCCACTGCAGTTCTTGGTGTGTTGAGCGTGCAATCAGTGTTAGTTACCGTTAGGCACACAGGGCCTTGGGAGCGCCCAGGGACGCCCAGGGCGGGGCGTAAATCGGGCAGCCGCCGTGATGTGCGGTGCAGGCGAGTGAGACGGGTTGTGTGAATAACTGCTGGGGAGTTCGGTAGGGAGGGGCAGGTAGGACAGACGTGTGACTGTCTGGTCTCTCCCCTCCCAGGTCACTCTACATGACATGATCCTGAAAAATATCGAGAAGATCAAACGGCCCCGGAGCAGCAATGCAGAGACACTGTACTGAGGCCAGGGCCAGGGCCAGGGGACTCTGTGAGTCTGGCTCAAGACCGACATTGCCTTGGTTTGTTACATGACTATCGTGATGGGGAAACTGGCTGGAAATAGTAATCACACCTCTCTCTGTTTTTAGTTAGAGTCTAATGAAGCTCTCATGTAGTTCTGTGACGTGTTTACCTCTTTTTTCAGGCCTCAGGAACTCTTCTATTTCCCTCCCTAACGCCCCGGCCCACCCTCATTTCTTGAGAACTCCAGGTTCGTGTGCGCAGGACGCTGCCACAGGAATGCTTGCGTTTCCTCTCCCCGTCCTCCTCCTGTGACTTGGGCTTTGTGTTCGTTTGTCTGTTTTCCTCTGGATGATTAGTTGGTTAGGAGCTGAAGGAACTAGAAGGAAAGTGCTAGGTGTTTGTTATTTTTAGGATCTGGGGTCGGGGAGACCAGCTTCTCTCCTCCGACGTGAGGTTAGTGTCTCTTGCCCATGTGGGACACTGAATCCTCCCTGCCACCGTTGTCCTGGTGATGACCGCGGGGTTCCCATCCACATACATACGTGACCAGAAACACCTTAGACCTCAGCTGAGTCCCTAGCTCCTTCAGATGTTTTTATAACTAGATTTTCACACACACAAACGTGCATGATCAACACACACGGACACACACGCATCTGCCTTTCTCCTCTGTTACCTGACTCTCCCACAAACACTGTCTCTCCCTCACACACATTGTTCTGGAGGTGATCGTGGTCTCAGTCATCATCCGCCAGGGCCCGCTGTCTCCTGACGCCGTAGCCCCTGGGTACGCAGGGGCCGGTGAGCAGAGGAGAGCCGAGCGGTGAGAAGCGGAGGGTCTGGGGAAGGCTCCCGCACTGTGACTTGGCGCTCTCTGGGCATTATGGCAAAGGCCAGTCCTCAGACTCCTGACTGCCTCTCTCTCGACCGGCTGTCGGTCAGGGTGGAGGTGTCCGCGGCTGCGAGGGACAGATGCTGCTACTCCTGCCAGGCTTTCCCTCCGGGGAAAAATAGGTTTTATTTATAGTGTTGTGCTTCCAAGGAACGCAGTCCCGTGTGTGCCCCGTGCGTGCACGCACACACAGGCGTGTGCTCATTGTGTGTGTGTGTGTGTGTGTGTGTGTGTGTGTGTGTGTGTGTAAATCTGCTGGGCAAGTCCGAACCGTAGAAGAGTTGCCTCCCATCTCTCGAATCTTCCAGAGATGCCTCCCACTTTTTATTAATTCTGCCATTACTGGAGAGTCAGTGTCTGCAGTCACCCGCCAGCCAGTGACTCTCTCTGTGTCTGGTTCTGGCTTATTCCCCCCCCGTCCCGTCTCTGTCTTCCAGCCCCTGAACACGTCCCCCACCCCCCGGCTGTGTCGTTTCTCACCCCCAGGACTGCTGTGTAGAGGGGGAGTCAGGACGCCATCTTCCCGTGAATAGCGCTCAGTAACAAACCAACTGCATTTTAGTTGGGCAGTGCCCCGACCCTCCCCCCGGACCCCTTCCAGATAAAACACGCCCCTCCTCCCACCATGCGTTTCTCAGTTTCCCTTTTTGTTTGTTGGATTGTTCTGCTGCCCCCACGCCTCACCCTACCGCCCTTGGGTCGTCATGTAAAATTCTTTTACCATGTCAAGAAATTATTAAAAATACAGGTACTTTGACCTCTTTCTAAAGCCGCAGACCCTGGTGCGATGCCTCTGGTGGCTAGGGACGCAACCGTATTCACGTGCGTGTGCACCTCCACGTAGCACTGCCAGCCCCCCATCGGGTGTCCTTTTACCAGTGGACCTTCCTCTTTCTTCGGGAATAATGGAAAGATTGAGACTCCTGCCTAGCAAGAGGCAAGGGTTGGTCCTTCATTTGTGTTCAGTCTGAATTATGTGAAAGATAGCTCTTCCCAAGTCTAAGCTGCTCCGTCCCAGCCCTCAATAAGATCTCAGTTCCTTACTTGCTTCCTTCCCCTGTGGTACCCATGAACTGCCAGTAGAGGCCGCTCTAGTTCTATGTGGGCAATCACCTGGTTCAAGGCTCACCCTACCCTGTGGTTTTCTTTACCTTATGATAATTCTCCCCTCTGAATAATGTCTTAAATTTCTTGAGGAGATGCCAGGGGACTCTTGGTTTCCAATGACTTAGAAGGCTGTCTGGGACCCTAGCTCCCTCTGAAATAAAGTTTCCTCAACTTCCACCTTGTAAAGTAGCCTCCTGGTTTCCAGTGATCCCTTTGTGGTCTCTGCAAAAAGAGATATACATGGTCTTGAACGGTGGAGGAACATCTGCTCTGTTCTGTCTCAGAGATAACCAGCAGCTCACAGTTTTTTTATGTCCACCTGTGCCATGCTGTGTTAAGCACTTGACATGCATGACCACATTTAACCTTCAGAACCTTCTTTATAGGAGAGGACACAGGCTCGTGGTAGTACCTCCCCTCAGGTCACACTGCTTAGCCTCCTGGGGCCAGTACAGATCTCACGCCCAGACCTTCACCGCTTCTCCTTTCTCACTGCCCAGATAGACGAGGCCTGAGCCTGCAGGTCAAGGGCTCGGCCTAGGCAGCTGCCAGAGCCCAGTGCTTGCTGCCGACCCAGGCCGCAGGTCCCGGAAACACGTGGGGCTGGCGCACCTGCCAGGGTGCAGGGAAATGGACACTTCTGGTGCCTGCAGTCAGCACACAGGACTCAGCTGGGCATCCGAGACTTGCATTCTTCCTCACACCTGTTTTGGGTGGAAGGTAGAGTTTAGCGTTACTTCCAGTGCCCTCCAGTCTGAGGGCCTAAATGATGGCAAGGAGCACGGAGCACCGATCGTGCTGCCGGTAGGGGTTCAGGGGCCAGGGAGCCGCCGTGCACGTGGAAGCGGTGCCTCGGGCCAAACCACAGAACAGAAAATTGGAACCGAATTATATAAATCAAGGTCAGAAATTTCCTGTTCAACCCACAGGGTGGAGTTTTCTCCATTCCTATCCATCCGACTGAATATAAACCCTGATTTGATGTCAGCAGCTAGAAGGAGCAGCTGGTAGGACTCTCGATTCAGCTCTCAGCATTCACCATGAATGTCAAGGTGGCCCTCGTGTTCCTGGCACTGTCCCTCATCACCATCTTTGCCCTGACCTATGTATTGCTGACCAGCCACGGGGGCTCCAGCCAGCCTCCCCGCTGCCCCTCCATATCCCCCAGTGCCCAGCACTGGACACACCCTGGCCAGAGCCAGCTGTTTGCAGACCTGAGCCCAGAGGAGCTGACGGCTGTGGTGAGCTTTCTGACCCAGCAGCTGGGGCCAGGCCTGGTGGATGCAGCCCAGGCCCGCCCCTCGGACAACTGCATCTTCTCGGTGGAGCTGCAACTGCCCCCCAAGGCAGCAGCCCTGGCCCACCTGGACAGGGGGAGCCCCCCACCTGCCCGGGAGGCCCTGGCCATCATCATTTTTGGTGGACAACCCCAGCCCAACGTGAGTGAGCTGGTGGTGGGACCACTGCCCCACCCTTCCTACCTTCGGGATGTGACCGTGGAGCGCCACGGGGGCCCCCTGCCCTACCACCGGCGCCCCATGGTGGAAGCTGAGTATGCTCTGATGTGGAAGCATTTGAAAGAGGTGGAGCTACCCAAGGCACCAGTCTTCCTTGCTTCGGTCTTCAACTACAATGGCTCCACTTTGGCACCTATACACTCCACTCCCAGGGGCTTGCGCTCGGGGGACCGTACTACCTGGATCGCCCTCCACCATAACATCTCGGGTGTTGGGATTTTCCTTCACCCGGTGGGGCTGGAGCTACTGCTGGACCACAGGGCCCTGGATCCTGCCCGCTGGGCCATCCAGCGGGTCTTCTACCTTGGGCGCTACTATGCAGACTTGGGCCAGTTGGAACGGGAGTTTAAGGCCGGCCGACTGGAAGTGGTTAGAGTGCCTCTGCCCCTGCCAGACGGGGCTTCATCCCTAAGGCCCCGTGTCCCCGCAGGTCCTCTCCCCCCTCTGCAGTTCTCACCCCAGGGCTCCCGATACAGTGTGCGAGGGAACCTGGTGGCGTCCTCCCTCTGGACATTCACCTTCGGCCACGGGGTGTTCAGTGGCATGAGGATTTTCGATGTTCGGTTCAAGGGCGAGCGAGTGGCCTATGAAGTCAGTGTCCAGGAGTGTCTGTCTGTCTATGGTGCTGACTCACCCAAGACGATGACGACCCGATACCTGGATAGCAGCTATGGACTCGGCAGCCACAGCCGGGGCTTGGTGCGGGGTGTGGACTGCCCCTACCAGTCTACGATGGTGGACGCCCACGTGTTCGTGGGCAAAGGGGCAGTCCAGCCGCTCCTGGGGGCCGTGTGTGTGTTCGAGGAGGCCCAGGGACTGCCCCTTCGAAGGCATCACAACCACCTTCAGAGTCATTTCTACGGTGGCCTGGCCGGCTCGGCCCTCGTAGTCAGGTCTGTGTCGACCGTCGGCAACTATGACTACATTTGGGACTTCGTGTTGCACCCAAACGGGGCGCTCGAAGGGCGGGTCCATGCCACGGGCTTTGTCAACACGGCCTTCCTGAGCGGCGGGGAGGAAAGCCTCCTCTTCGGGAACCGCGTGGGGCAGCGAGTGCTGGGCACGGTGCACACGCACGCCTTCCACTTCAAGCTGGACCTGGACGTGGCAGGTGAGTGTCCAGGGAAGGAGGCCTTCGGAGTGGAGCGGAGGGGAGGGAGACCCCCGCCGCCCCGCCCCAGGTCAAGCTGGAACAGCGTAGAGGGTAGCGTTCCAGCTGCGTGATTCGCCGTGGCAACAGCCGGGGCTGCTCACCGTGCATTCATTCAGCTGCGGTCAGCTGACGGGTCACCGGCGGGCAGAGGAGGGGGCTTCCCCGACCAGCTCTGACCACCCAGCCTCTCGGATGTGCTGCCATTCTGAAGTTAGTTTAAACAGAATGGCTGCACCTGCCTTAGCCTCGAATGACAACGGACGGGTGGTGAATTTGCCCCAGAGCTGGGTGGGCTGGGGTGGGGGCCCTGAGTCCTTCCTGATTCCGAAGGGCAGTGGAGGCCGGGAAAGCCGGGGCCCGCGCAGCGGCAGGAGACGGTCCATCCTGCAGCGCTTTTCAGAGGAGGGCCGGTCTGGGGCCTGAGAAGGCAGTGGGGACACCAGCCGGGAGTTGCTGCTCCACAGGGGTTCAGGCACCCGGGGACATGGGACGGTGGCCCTGTCCTCGGGAGGGCCATCCCATCCCACCCCTAGGCAGGGGTGTCATTGCACATGTTGTCACAATGACAAGGAAGGCACGTAGCAGGCTGCTGCCGGGGCACGAAGGGAGTTCTCAGGTAGGGCTCCGAGCACAGAGAGGACCTGCTGCTCCTGACACGGGTTAGTCGAGGGCAGAAAATAACCCGCTTATCAAATCACAGACAATTAGGCCCAGAAGGAAAATGAGGGACCCACCAGACCCTCTCCATCTTACAGTTTGGGAGATTCAGGAGGGTTGGGGGAGAGGGGAGAAGAAGGGATTGCCCGAGTATAAAGTGCTACAACAGGGGGGTCAAACTCACTTTCACCGGGGGCCGCATTGGCCTCGCGGTTGCCTTCAAAGGGCCGAAGGTAATTTTGGGGCCCGGCAAATGTAACTGCTCCTTAACAGTTAAGTGGCAGCTCGGCGCTGCTGCTGGACAGAAACAAGGTGGAGGGCCGGATAACACAAGGAGGCCGGATTCGGCCCGCGGGCCTTGTGTGTGCTCTAACTAAGGATTTTTCTTGTGAAACGTTCTCTTGTCGTCTTGGGTATAAAGACACGCCGTTGAGTGTGTGTGGCGTGGGGGCGGAGGGGAGGAAGAACCAAGAAAATGGCATGATTGAAATGACATATTAACAATTCTCTGACATATTTGGAATATGACTTTTGTAATTTGAAGTTTTCCTTCAGCATTTCTGATATTAAAGAGCCTTGTCTTAGGAAGTAAAATCAAGTGATGTTTCTTGGATCCCTAGTGGGCAGAGCACAGGTTGGCGCTGGGGGCCAGAGGCTAGGCCAGGCCCCCTCTGCCCGGGACAGCCCGCAGACGCACCGGCTTCCGCCAAGCGCCCCCCGCCCGGGGCCAGCTGCCTTTGCATAGCTTGTGTGTAAAGGAGCTGACCGTCCGAACATGCCGAGTGGGTGATCAACTGCTGAGTGGGCGGGCAATGAGCGCAGGTTGCTATTGCTATGAGGTCTGGGGAGTTCCCAGACAATTTAAAGATATAAGTCTCGCTTCTGAAAAAGGCGAAAGTGGTCCCCATGTTGTTGAGAGAGGAAGCGAATTCCCAGAGCTGAGAGGAGTGTGCAGAGCACTGTGGAAGGGGACTGGGTTTTTCCAGCCAGCCTCTCCAAGACAAATGTCCCTTTCATAGTTTACAAGAATGTAACTAGGCCACCTGTGTGTGCTTTTCCATTTAAAGAGCTCAGCCATCGAAGAGCCTTCATTGTGCCAAGTGTAGAGATTCGGAAAATGAGAACCAAAGAAGCAAACCGCTGGCCCGAGGGTAGACCGGTGCTAACAGAACTCTGTGTAGTGACGGAAATATCCTATACGCGCATTGTCCAATACGTTAGCCCCTGGCACGCATGGCTGTTGAGCACTGGAAATGTACCCAATGTGGTGGAGGGACTGAATTTTTAATTTAAATGCAAGTGGTCACTTGTGACTACTTGGAACTGTGTTGGACAGGGCAGGGTCGCAGAAGATGGGCTGGTCCCCAGTCCAGGACCCCCTGGTCCCGGCGCGGTGCATTCTCTGGCGGGCGCTGCTGCCCTTTGTCAGGCCACTGCAGCGGACGTCACGGGGGAGATGAACCTGTCTCACCCGGTGTGGAACTCCTCTCCCTCCCCTCATTCTGGCAGGGCCGAAAAACTGGGTGGTGGCTGAAGACGTGGCGTTTAAACCCGTGGCAGCTCCTTGGAGTCCAGAGCACCAATTGCAGCGTCCACAGCTGACTCGGCAGGTCCTAGAAAGGGAGGACCTAGCGGCTTTTGCCTGGGGAAATCCCCTTCCCCGCTATCTTTACCTGGCTGGCAACCAGACTAATGCTTGGGGTCACCAGCGCGGGTACCGAATACAGATCCACAGCCCCCTTGGCGTACACATCCCCCTGGAGAGTGACATGGAGAGGGCGCTCAGCTGGGGGAGGTGAGGAGGGCACCCGGCACGCGGGCGGGCAGGGAGGGAAGGACCAGCCCCCTTTTCCACCCCAGCTCTCAGAGGCCCCAGCTCACCATCCCTGCTTACCATCCACCCCCGGACCTCCTCTGAGATCCAAGCAGATAGGGGATGGGAGATGATCTTACACACAGTCTGGTCCAGAGGACTCCAGGGACAGGAAAGATCTTTGCCATTTGCTGACTCCCCCCTCTCACAACACTCCTGGTCAGATACCAGCTCGCGGTGACCCAGAGGAAAGAGGAGGAGTCGCAGAGCAGCAGCATCTATCACCAGAATGACATCTGGACACCCACTGTTGCCTTTGCTGACTTCATCGATAATGAGACGCTCTTAGGAGAGGTTGGTGGCTCTAGAGACGGGGGAGAGGGGCTCCTCTGCGTCTGGCGTCTTGGCTGCCCGCACACTGGCAGCAGATTGGAGGAAATGGTCTATTGCCAGTCCTCAGATTCAGGAGCCGAGGAGTTCCCTGATGGCCAACGCAGATTAGCCCTGGGACACTGACCACCCCCTACGGCCTCTCATGTGGATCACCACCACCTAGGCCTGGGGCTGGGAGGAGGCGGACGCGGGGCTGAGGCTGGAGGTCAGGGACTGTGGCTGAGGGGTGGTTCTCTGGGTCTCGCCTCCAAAGTCCCTTCCGCTCCTCCCTCTTCCTTCAGGACCTGGTGGCCTGGGTGACAGCCAGCTTCCTGCACATCCCCCATGCCGAGGACATCCCCAACACGGTCACTGTGGGGAACAAAGTTGGCTTCTTGCTCCGACCCTATAACTTCTTTGACGAGGACCCCTCTGTCTTCTCCCCCGGCAGCATCTACTTTGAGAAGGGCCAGGATGCCCGGCTCTGCGGTGTCAACCCTGCGGCCTGCATCCCCCACCTGGCCGCCTGTGTCCCGGACTTGCCCCCTTTCTCTTACCAAGACTTTTAGCCCCAAGGGTGCGGTGGGGTGAGGTGGGGGGGGGGGGGGGGGGGGGGGGGGGATGGTGCTAGGACAGGAGGTGTGTCCCTTCTTCTCTCTTCCCAGTTTCTGCACCTCCCCCCACACACCCTCTTAATGTTTCCAAGGAAACAGCTTCTTTCTGCACTACCCCCCCCATGTATCCTTCTGGTTAATTCATAGTCCTAGTTTTTTTTTTAAATGATGAATTTATACAAATGATATTATTATTATTAAAATAATTCAAGCAAAAACACCACAAGTCCTACCACTCAGCAATAGCTAGAATTCCCATTTGGTGACCCTTATACCAGGTATTTCTTCATCAGGTGCATTGAAATGGAAGAATAGATAGAATTTTGTAAAAAAATAAATGGTATGTGCAATTTATAATAAAAAGATCACAAGATTTTTACTTGAATTGCTTCTATGTCACTTTTGAAGTCTCTAGAGGTCCCCAGAGAATATTCCAGATTCTGGCCAAGGAATTTAAGAGGAGAGAGGACAAGGGTGACAGGCCCGGCCAAGGAATGCTGCTTGGGAAACTGGAGGGCTGGGGGCGGGTGTCCTTGGAGAGAGCGGCACTTCCAAGTCAGAGGAAAGGGAACATCTGGCCCCCGGAAAGTGGGAGTTGAGGGAAGCAGCGGGGCTGAGGGAGGTGAGGGGCCGCAGACCCCGCCCCTTGGTGCTGGTACATTTCTGTACATTTCTGTGCTGGGGCTGGTCAGCTACATTATCCTGAAATCCCTCTCCCTTCCCCTGCCCTCTCTCTCCCTGGTTCCAGCCCTGACCCAGGCAGCAGAGTCCATTTGGGAGCCTGGAAGACAAAGCCTTGTAGGGTCTGTGGCAATCACCGCCGCCCTGCGTCAGGCCCGCCCCTGAGCCCCGGCTGGCCCCACCCCCCCACCTCAGCCTTTCTGGTCTTTCCCACCCTCCGTCTCCTATGCCTCTGAATCCTGGGAACCTAAACCAGAGTCCAGGAGGCCCCAAGAGCGAACCTCTTCTGTGACCGGAGAATATACTTCTTCACTCCGGTTCAACCCTCTGTCCCTCCGTTCACAAGACCATGAACCAGAAGACAACCCTGGTCCTCCTCGCTCTGGCGGTCATCACCATCTTTTCATTGGTGTGCGTCTTGCTGGCTGGCAGGGGGGGAGATGGGGGTGAACCCAGCGTGCCTCCTCGCTGCCCGTCCATATCCCCCAGTGCCCAGCACTGGACACACCCTGGCCAGAGCCAGCTGTTTGCAGACCTGAGCCCAGAGGAGCTGACGGCTGTGGTGAGCTTTCTGACCCAGCAGCTGGGGCCAGGCCTGGTGGATGCAGCCCAGGCCCGCCCCTCGGACAACTGCATCTTCTCGGTGGAGCTGCAACTGCCCCCCAAGGCAGCAGCCCTGGCCCACCTGGACAGGGGGAGCCCCCCACCTGCCCGGGAGGCCCTGGCCATCATCTTCTTTGGCGGACAACCCCAGCCCAACGTGAGTGAGCTGGTGGTGGGACCACTGCCCCACCCTTCCTACCTTCGGGATGTGACCGTGGAGCGTCACGGGGGCCCCCTGCCCTACCACCGGCGCCCCGTGCTATTCCGAGAGTACCTGGACATAGACCACGTGATCTTCAACAGAGAGCTGCCCCAGGCTGCTGGTCTCCTCCACCACTGCTGCTTCTACAGACGCCAAGGAGGGAACCTGGTGACGATGACCACGGCCCCCCGGGGTTTGCAGTCAGGGGACCGAGCTACCTGGTTTGGCCTCTACTACAACATCTCAGGCGCTGGGTTTTACCTGCATCCCATAGGGTTGGAGCTGCTGGTAGACCACAAGGCCCTGGACCCTGCCCGCTGGACCATCCAGAAGGTGTTCTTCCAAGGCCGCTACTACAAGAGCCTGGCTCAGCTGGAGGAGCAGTTTGAGGCTGGCCTGGTGAACATGGTGCCGATCCCAGACAATGGCACGGGTGGGTCCTGGTCCCTGAAGTCCCAGGCGTCCCCAGGTCCGGCTCCCCCTCTGCAGTTCCATCCCCAGGGCCCCCGCTTCAGTGTCCAGGGGAGTCTAGTGTCCTCCTCCTTGTGGACTTTCTTTTTCGGCCTCGGAGCTTACAGTGGCCCAAGGGTCTTTGACATCCGCTTCCAGGGAGAACGGCTAGCTTACGAGATCAGCCTCCAGGAGGCCTTGGCCGTCTACGGTGGAAACTCTCCCGCAGCAATGCTGACCCGCTACATCGACGGCAGCTTCGGCATGGGCAAGTACTCCACGCCCCTGACCCGTGGGGTGGACTGCCCCTACCTGGCCACCTACGTGGACTGGCACTTCCTTCTGGAGTCCCAAGCCCCCAGGACAGTACGAGATGCCTTTTGTGTGTTTGAACAGAACCAGGGTCTCCCCCTGAGGCGACACCACTCGGATATCCACTCCCATTATTTTGGGGGCCTCACGGAGACAGTGCTGGTCTTCAGATCCGTGTCCACCTTGCTCAATTACGACTACGTGTGGGACATGGTCTTCCACCCCAACGGAGCCATAGAGGTCCAGTTCCATGCCACTGGCTACATCAGCTCAGCCTTCCTCTTTGGTGCTGGCCGGAGCTACGGGAACCAGGTCCGGGAGCACACACTGGGCACCGCCCACACCCACAGTGCCCACTTCAAGGTGGATCTGGATGTAGGAGGTAAGACGTCCTGGAGGGGGAAAGTATTCCGGAAGAAGGGCTCAAGTGTGTGGTCTCTGCTCATTTTGGATGTATGACGGTTATGCGGGAAAGGAAGGCATGAAAGCAAGTACGTGGTTTTGGAGTTCATGCTTCCTCTTTGGCTGGATAGGAGTGGGATGCTGCGTTTTATTCAGCTCATTGGCTGGTGCACAGCCGCCAGCCCTGCTCCACATGACTCCAGCTGAAAATCTTGGGAAATGGCAGAGCTCAGGGGGGAGGCGGGATCTGGGCCAGCAGATTTCCCTTTGCCCTCTTCCCGCTCTCGCACTCACATGGGGCCTGTCTCAGGGAGGCGGCCATTTGTCTTTCGGTTCTTGAAGGACACGTTTGCACTCTGCCAAGCCCCTGGCACATGCAGGCCCATCATGGGACACCCCGGGTTGGACATTTTCTAGGAAGAGGGACCCTCCTCTTTCCTGATTTTCTCTCTCTTGCTTGGGCTTAAGTGTGAGCGATAAAATGGATACAGCGGAGCATTTCAGAGAGTCCCTGGCGGTCACAGAGAGAGCCAAGGAGACACGGTGTCTTAGAACCTTTTTCCTTTTCTTCGAGCTGATCACCAGATTTGGTGGTTTTTATTTCTGTTCTGCCTTCAAAACACACTCCTCGCTGGGCACCCCCTGTCCCGCCCCTGCTGGGACTACATCTCGCTGCTTCCTCTCTTCCTCCTCCCGGAGCTGGGGTTCACGCTGGGCCCCGAGGGACCTAGCCGCCCACGCCAGCCTGCCCCTCGTCCGGGTCTCCCTTTCCCCATCACCTGTGGGTCCCATGCACAGAACAGCTCACAAGGCCCTTCTCCCCAGAACGCAGCTCCGTCCTGCCTTTCCGATTCTTCATCCGAGCACCGGTTTAGCCGAACTCACACCCAGCCCGTCCCCGGACACAACAGCACGTGGACGGCCAGGCTTCTTTTGTCCCGCTCCTGTTTCTGCCCCTTGTCTAGGACGCCCTGCTACATCACCTCCGCTGGTGACGTCCTGTAAGGCCAGGCAGAAAATGTGCCCAGGATGGCCTTTGTGTGCCTGCACCTCTGTCCCTATAACCTTGCACCTGGGATGTGCCCCTCGCACACTGCGGGCCGGTCAGGGCACTGCCCTGCATCCTCTGTGGGAGCAAAAGGGTGAGATGGAGGTTTTGTCCATCTGTGTGTCCCCAGGGCCGAGCCTGGGCCCCGCCACTACTGAGGTAAATGAATGAACACATGAAATAACAAATGAAGTCCTTGATGAAATATTTTACAGGTCAATGGATTTGGCTTAAAGATTGGGGATATTTGGGGGGAGAGCAAAGGGAAGGAGGGGACACACTCAGTTCTGGGCTTCTCCTTGGGCCCCAGCCTGAAGCCAGGTGGGCGACCAGCTCTCCTTCCCAGCCTTTCTCTCTCCTGCTCCCCCCTCCCCGGCAGGACTGGAGAACTGGGTATGGGCTGAGGACATGGTCTTTGTCCCCGTGATGGTGCCCTGGAGCCCAGAGCACCAGCTGCAGAGGCTGCAGGTGACCCGCAAGCTGCTGGAGACAGAGGAGCAGGCCGCCTTCCCCCTGGGAGGTGCCTCCCCTCGCTACCTGTACCTGGCCAGCAACCAGAGCAACAAGTGGGGTCACCCGCGGGGCTACCGCATCCAGATCCGCAGTTTTGCTGGGGAGCCGCTGCCCCAGAACAGCTCCATGGAGAGAGCCATCAGCTGGGGCAGGTGAGTGGAGGTGTCAGGTGTCAGAGAGGCTGGGGGATGAGCGTGAGAAGGGAGCATTGGAGAGGCAGTTGGAAACGCAGGTCAAACTGTACGCAAAGTGAGGGGAGAGCTCCAGAAGGATTTCTTGGTTATCTAAAGGCACAGGCCACGGGCACTGAACACATGTTCCCTCGGAGGACAAAAGCTCGGAGCTGAGAACCTTTCTGTCCTTTGGATGGGGGAGGGCCATGCTGTGGCAGAGGGTGAACGAGACCCTGGAACAGTGGGGGATGACTCAGCAGGGTGACGGCAGAGTCACCGAGCAATGAGACGGGAAAACTGAGGTCCACATGCTCCGCCCCCTTCCATCGTAATCAGGCCGCAGGACAAGGTTCATGACCTTAGAGGCCTGAGCAGTGCCGCCCTAGGTACCAGCTGGCCGTGACCCAGCGGAAGGAGGAGGAGCCCAGCAGCAGCAGCATCTTCAATCAGAATGACCCTTGGGTCCCCACCGTGGACTTCTCGGACTTCATCGACAACGAGACCATTGTTGGAAAGGTCAGCTGGTTGGGAGGGCCAGTGAGTGGCGTGGGGGCACAAAGATGGGCTCCACCGTGTCTTGGGGATCCCTGAAAGCCACCTGGTCTCCTCGGGAGCGGAGCCGACTCCTGCCTTCTGTACTTGCGTGGGTCTGATCATCACCTCTTGAATCTTCCCAAGCTGGAAGTTCATTTGCAGAGGCTGGCTGAGGCCCCGGCAGACCCTCGAGACCCTACAGCCCTCTAAGTCTTAGCTTCGTGGACTGAGTCCTTCTCAGGCCCCAGGATTCAAGGAGGGCTGGAGGTCACCGGGGAAGACCACCTGTCTTGTCTCTAAAGCCCATCCCTGGTGTGACCCCTAAAGGATCAATCCCTGAATGTGGGCCGTTTCTGCCTCCCAAGCCCTGGTGCCCCCTCCTCCACCTTCCTTCCATCAGCTGTAGCTGGGGAGTTAGCGGGGAAGGAGCTGATGTCGCCTGTGGCATCGCTGGTCCTCTGGGGATGGAGGGGCGGATGGAGGTGTGGGAGGAATGCCAGAGATGGAGAACAGAGGCTGGGTCAGAGAGGCAGGTCCTGTTCCCGGCGCGAATGGGAAATTCACTGTGCTTTGGCCTCTGCACTAGTGGGAAAAACATTGGAAGACTTAGGATCCTTTGGAGGAAAGGGGCACTAACATGGCAAATCCTTACAAACAAGGCTACCATCGGGGGCAGGCGCGTCCTCAGCAGAGTCAGGCCTCACAACCCTCTTCCTCTCCCCTGCTAGGACCTGGTGGCCTGGGTGACAGCCGGTTTCCTGCACATCCCACATGCAGAGGACGTTCCCAACACGGTGACTGTGGGGAACGGTGTGGGCTTCTTCCTCCGGCCCTACAACTTCTTTGACCAGGACCCCTCCCTCCATTCTGCCGACTCCATCTATTTCCGGGGGGACCAGGACACTGGGGACTGTGAGGTCAACCCCCTGGCTTGCCTCCCCAAGGCTGCTGGCTGCACCCCTGACCTCCCTGCCTTCTCTCATGGGGGCTTCTCTCACAGCTAGGTGGACCCCAGGATGGGGATCGTGTCCAGGGGCCCCGGGGCCAGGGTCCGTGCAAGCGGTGGGCACTGGGTTGGGCAGACTGGTGCCCTCTTCTCCCTCCTCAACCCCTGAGTTTCCTTCCTGCCCCTCCCCTAAGGTCACCTCCTGTCATCACCCTCCCTCTCTTCCTCTCTCTGCTGGAAGCATCCTGAGCCCATGATGCTGGCCGTGGGGGAAAGCAGGAGAGACGCAGCTTTGCTGCCACAGGACCTGCTGGGTGTCTGTCCCAGAGAGGAAATGAATGGCCAGCCAGGAGCCTGGAGTGATAGCCAAGCTTTTCCCCAGAAGACCCTCTTTTTTCCTTTCTGGCTTTCCCAGATATTTCTAGGCTGTCTCCAGGTCCCTCCTGGCCTCCCCAGTCCCCGCCTTGGGCGATGGAGACAGGTCTCTGCAGTGGGGGCGGTGTGCGATGTGTGGACGAGCTGCAAGGGGCTCCTTCGCCCGTGTTCCCTCCTGTGCAAGTTCCCCTCCGGCCTTCCCTCTTCCTCTCGGCCACCACAACCTCCTCCCATTCTTACTCTTTTATCCTGGGATTTTCCTCCCTGGCATGCAAATGAGCTAGGGGTTAGTCCCCGGGGAGTTTGGATTGGGGGCGGATATACAAATAGCCAAACCCCGAGAGAGTTTGCAAAAGACAGAAACGTCTCCCTCCCTGGAGGACTGGTTAAGTACATTTTGTTACAGTCTTACGATGTAGTATTATGCAGCTATAAATATGTTTATATCTTTTTTGTGTAATAATAGGAAATAATCTTCCAATGAAAAGGCAAGATGCAGAAGTATGCGTGATACACTTTCCATTTGTGGTTTAGGAGAGAGGAAAATATAAATATAGATTTGCTTATAAATGTGTATTCAGAAGAAATGAGTAACACTGGTTGCTTCTGGAGAGGGAACTGGGAGGTTGGGGGCTGGGGAGGGAGGGGATTTGGCACTGTACGCCGTTGTGTACATTTTGAATTTTGAACCATGTGACTGTATTACCCATTCAAATTAAATAATAAATGGGCCTAAACAGGACCTGACTTTTTGTTTTTTTAACTGACAAAACCTTCTCTGGAACCTTCCATCTCTCCCAGTTTCTCTCAGGACCCAGCTCCCCAGATCACGGTGGCCTCCTGCGTGTCACCGAGCAGAGAAACGAGGTGGCTTTGCTCTCTGCACCTGCAACGTTTTGGAGGAAGGTTTTCTGGAGTTGAAGGTTGTGGGCTGCTGGGTTAATTCCACAGCCAGTTTTCCAGGCCCCCTGACCTCTAACCTGGCCCACCAGTCCTGCCCTTGGTGTGGGGGAGGAGGATTCTGTTACACCGGGTAGCCCCTGCACCCACTCCAGTGACTCAGGGTGCTCAGAGGGCTGACCTGCTTCACCCAGCCTTTCGGCCTCCAGCGCCTCCCAGGTGCCTTGTGTTTGCGGCATTACTCTCAAGCATCCCTGGGCCTGCCAGTCGGGCTGTGGTTGGTGGGGAGAGTAGGAAGGAGTGACTGGGAACGGGGTCTGGCGGGCCCACAAACTCAAGAAGGCGTGAGGGCACCTGTGGGGGAGGTGTGGGCAAGCGAGTTTCACTTGCAGCTGTGTGGCCAGCAGAACGTGTCCATCCCCACGAAGCACAGTCCCTTTCTGCCCCGTCACTTCCTCTTTCCAGCTGAGTTATCTCCAAAACCAGCCCGCCCCCACTTCGTTCCCCAGCCCTGACCCTGAGTGTCTGTTTGATTTGGAACAGAGGGCAGAGACTTATGTGGGCCATGAAAGTCCAGGTTCCTGCCTCAGCCCCACCTCCCAAGCCTGGCCTGACCCCTGGCCCCTGCCAGCGTCACCTCCACCCCCACTCCACCCTCTGGGTTTGGCTGATGGTCTTCAATGTACCCTCCCTGCCTCTTACCCAGAGCACCAGCCAGAGATTAAGGACCTCCAGAGACGGAAAGAGACATGCTGTACCCAGGTCCTGTTTATCAGATTAACTTTCTATTTGCCATTCTGCCTTCTGATTCAAGAGCCTGAAGACACAGTGTCCCCATACTGTGACCACAGCCCCCCGGGGGTTGGCAGTCAGGGGACCGAGCTACCTGGTTTGGCCTCTACTACAACATCTCAGGCGCTGGGTTTTACCTGCATCCCATAGGGTTGGAGCTGCTGGTAGACCACAGGGCCCTGGACCCTGCCCGCTGGACCATCCAGAAGGTGTTCTTCCAAGGCTGCTACTACAAGAGCCTGGCTCAGCTGGAGGAGCAGTTTGAGGCTGGCCTGGTGAACATGGTGCCGATCCCAGACAATTGAGCACAGGTGGGTCCTGGTCCCTGAAGTCCCAGGCGTCCCCAGGTCCGGCTCCCCCTCTGCAGGTCCATCCCCAGGGCCCCCGCTTCAGTGTCCAGGGGAGTCTAGTGTCCTCCTCCTTGTGGACTTTCTTTTTCGGCCTCGGAGCTTACAGTGGCCCCAGGGTCTTTGACATCCGCTTCCAAATGGAGAGAGTGGCCTATGGAGTCAGGGTCCAGGAGGCCTTGACCAGCCATGGTGGCGATTCTCCTGCTGCTCTGCGAAGCCAGTACACAGCTGGTGGCTCTGGCTTGGGCCACTTCTCTTCACCCCTGACCCGTGGGGTGGACTGCCCCTACCTGGCCACCTACGTGGACTGGCACTTCCTTCTGGAGTCCCAAGCCCCCAGGACAGTACGAGATGCCTTTTGTGTGTTTGAACAGAACCAGGGTCTCCCCCTGAGGCGACACCACTCGGATATCCACTCCCATTATTTTGGGGGCCTCACGGAGACAGTGCTGGTCTTCAGATCCGTGTCCACCTTGCTCAATTACGACTACGTGTGGGACATGGTCTTCCACCCCAACGGAGCCATAGAGGTCCAATTCCATGCCACTGGCTACATCAGCTCAGCCTTCCTCTTTGGTGCTGCCAGAAGATATGGGAATTGGGTTCGGGAGCACCCACAGCGCCCACTTCAACATGGATCCAGAGGTAGGAGGTAAGATATCCTGGAGGGGGAAAGTATTCCGGAAGAGGGGACTGAGAGGTCTCCATGCCTAGCTTTAAAAATTGTCATCGGAGTATTAAAAACGTAAAAGTATATGGAGTAAAAACCATTCCAATTCCTAAGAGATCTTCACCCTTAGTCAATCAGTTATTCTTGCACACTTAAAAAAATTCTCTCATATTTTAAAATATTGCATCTGCATCCTGGCTGGTGTGGCTCAGTTGGTAGGACTGCCATTCCACAACTGAAGGGTTGCGGGTCCAATCCCAGGTCTGGGCACGTACAGGAGGCATCCAATCAATGTTTCTCTCTCTCTCCCTTCCTCTGTCTGTTCCTCTCTTTTAAAAAAAGCGATGAAAAAAATGTTCTCAGGTTAGGATAAAATTTAAAAAAATATATTGCACCTGGGATTATAGAATCAATTATATTGTATACTATGTATAAATGATATATGGTACACTTTTATTTTTTCACATGACATATCCCTTATGCAAGCAACAAATATCTACCAAATGCATGTTTGTGGCAAGCACTGCACTAATGCAATTTAACCAAAGAAACAACATCCCTGGCTTCCGGTCAAGATGGCAGCGTAGGCAGACATGACTCACCTCTTTGCACAACCACGTCAAAATTACAACTAAAATATAGAACAACCATCACTCAGAACAAGTAGAAACCAAGTTGCATGGAAGTCTGACAATTATGGAATTAAAGAAACCACATCCATCCAGACTGATAGGAGGGGCGCAGATGCAGAACTGGCTGGTCTCTCACCCATACATGGTGGATAAAAATTTGGGAGGGCTATCCTGGGAGCAAGGAGTCCCAGCCCCACACCAGGGCCCCCAGCCCAGGATGTCAGGGCAAGGAAGATAAGTCTCCACAACCTCTGGCTCCAAAAACCAGAGGTGATTGAGTTGATGGAAGAAACTTCTGGAGCCCCAAGAAGTTCCTCTTAAAAGAACCCACACATGGACTCACCTCCTCCCACTCACTCCCTCTGAGCACCAGCACTGGGGTAGCAGATTGAAGGGTACCAGTGGTATACAGGGAGAAACTGAAGTGTCTAGCATCAGGGTGAGCAGAAGCCATTGTCCCTTTGCTAAACCCACCCTACTGGAGAGCCAGTAGGCTGGTGCCGTATCTGACACTCCATCAGCCTTGGAGATCCCCAGAGACTCTGCTCCACCCAACTTACGGGCCCACCCAAGCTGCTTTTCCATATAATGGCTCATCTTGACTCACACTTCACAACTTCCTAAATCCTCTCAAACAAGCAACAGCTGGCCTCAGTGAGCCCCAGGCCCAGCATTAGCAGCAGCCAGTCTAGATTCACAGCTTGGCTTCACCTGGGAATCTCCAAGCCAACACAAGTAGCAGCCATCTCAGATTGCTTTATAGCTCAGGCAGGGTGCATGGGGCAAATCACAGGTGAGGGCTGATCTTGGTCTGCACCAGTGTGGAAATCCCCAGGGCCAGCGCACCCAGTAGAGAGCTACAGACCAGGTCAGAGCACCACCACCCTGCCCCTGCACAGCTCTTTCTCCATGGAGGGCCAAGATTGGTGGTTAATGGTCACAGCCAGTCCTTGTAGCTGACTGGCTTGGGTGAATCCCTCCCATTGACCTGCCAACAGCAGCCAAGGCTTAACTACAAGAGGAGAGTGTGCACCTCAAGTACCCAGCTTGGGTGATAAGGGAGGCTGTGCCACTGGACCCAACAGGACACCTACTACATTAGGCCACGCTACCAAGACACAGAGCAAAGCAGCTCTACCTAATACATAAGAACAAACACAGGGAGGCTGCCAAAATGAGGAGACAAAGAAGCGTGGCCCACATGAAAGAACAGATCAAAACTCCAGAAAAAGAGTTAAGCAAAATGGAGATAAGCAATCTGTCAGATGCAGAGTTCAAAACACTGGTTACAAGGATGCTCAAGGAACTTAAGTGAGACCTCAGCAGCATGAAAAAGACCCAGTCCGAAACAAAGGATTCACAAATTGAAATAAAGAACAATTTACAGGGAAACAACAGTAGAGTGGATGAAGCTGAGAATCAAATCAATGGTTGGGAACATAAGGCACCAAAAAACAACTAATCAGAACAACAATAAGAAAAAAGAAGCCCTCTCCCCCCAAAAAATGAGGATAGTGTAAGCAGCTTCTGGGACAACTTCAAGAGGTCCAACATTTGCATCATAGGGGTGCCAGAAGGAGAAGAGTATGAGCAAGAAATTGGAAATCTATCTGAAAAAAAAAAATAGTGAGAGAAAACTTCCCTCATTTGGTGAAGAAAAGAGACATGCAAGGCCAGGAAGCACAGAGTCACAAACAAGGTGGGTGCAAGGAGGCCCCTTCCAAGACATATCATAATTAAAATACCAAAGGTTAAAAACAAAGAAAATCTTAAAAGCAGCAAGAGAAAAGACAGTTACCAGATAGTTGCCAAATAGGAGAGGGGTGCGGGAGCATGAATGACGAGGTGAGGGGATTCAGAAGTAGAAATAGGTAGTTACAGAATAGCCATGGGGATGTCAAGTACAGTATAGGAAATGGAGAAGCCGAAGAACCTATACACACGACCCACAGACATGAACCATGGTGTGGGGATTGCCTGAGGGAGTAAGGGGTGTTGGGTGGAGGGAGGCAAAGAAAAAAATCAGGACAACTGTAATAGCATAATCAATAAAATATAATTAAAGAAAAAAAAAGGACAAAGAAACAACATCCCTGCTCCCAAGAGACTGACATCTTAGTGGAGGAGAAAACCACAGAAGTGACTTTATATCCTCAGCACATCACCTCAGAGGGTACATGGTGCCGACACGGCTGTCTTACTAGCAGCAATGTTGACCTCAAGCACTTGGTTAAGGTGGTGTCTTCTGGCTTTCTCCATGGTGAATGTTAATATTTTTTCATTTGCATTTAAAAAATATCTTGGGGCCCTGACTGGTGTGGCTCAGTTTTTCGGGCATCATCCTACAAAGCAAAAGATGACCAGTTCGATTCCCCGTCAGGACACATGCCTGGGTTGTGGTTCAGCCCCTGGTCGGTGCTCATACAAGAGGCAGCCAATAGATGTTTCTCTCTTATATCAAGGATTCTCTCCCTCTCTATATCCTCCCTTCTCCTCTCTCTAAAATAAATAAAATATTTTAAAAAATAAATAAATAAGCCCTGGCTGGCTTAGCTCAGTGGATTGAGTGCAGGCTGCTAACCAAAGTGTCGCAGGTTCGATTCCCAGTCAGGGTACATGCCTGGGTTGCAGGCCATGACCCCCAGCAACTGCACACTGATGTTTCTCTCTCTTTCTCCCTCCCTTCCCTCTCTAAAAAGTAAATAAAAGCTTTAATAAATAAATATCTTGGAGAAATTCTTTTGATGTTGTGTAAATGCTCAATTTCTTCTCAAACTCTTGCCCATTAATTTTAGTATCTGTTGTTGCATTTTTCCTGCATCAATTATTACTGTGTTATTTCCCTACTGGTCGCTTAAATCTTTCCTGATTTTTCATTTATTAATTGGAATGCTCCGCAGGGCGGAGTTATCCCTCCTTTTTCACCTACGTATATACATAATCGTATGACTTGGATATATAGTTTGTTCCAAGGGCCGTAACCCAGTCCTCCCAGGACTGTCATCTGTGTTGTTTCTTCAGTTGGCCCAGGGGCGGGTTCCTGCGTCCTTCTGCCACACCCCCCTTCTTTCTCGAGCGCTTATTTCACTTCCTGGCACCACAAGACGTTCCAGTTTCATCTTGTGTTTTCCCTGCTGCAGCCCTGGAGTCAATCAACCGTTTCTACAAGGAACTCTCGTGCCTTTTGTTGCAGAGCAGTATTTGGAAGCCGAGATCTGGGGCCCAGGTGGGCCCACTGTGGCTCGGATCTCATTGCTTTCAGCTTCTCTCATTGGACTTAGCTGGGAAATACCTGCGTGTACCCTAAGTGACACGCACAGCTCTTTCATCTCTGCATCTAAGCAGTAACCGCTCTTTATTTTTTCATTTAAAATTTTTATTTTCCAATGATGTGTTGCATTCCATATTATCTTGTATTCGTTTCAGATACAGCAGAGTGGTTAGCCAATCATACTCTTTGCACAGTGATCCCCCCAATATTTCCAGTATCCGCCTGGCACCAAACATAGTTACTATAATATTATTGACTATGCTGTATCTTATATCCTTGTGACTATTTTTAAAAATATTTTATATTTATTTTTAGGGAGGAGGGAAAGAAGAGAAAGAAACACTGATGTGCGAGAGATACATGGATCAGCTGTCTTTCACACCACCCCCCCAAGTGGGGGCGCGGCCCGCAACCCAAGCATGTGCCCTGACTCGGAATTGAACCAGCGACCTTTGGGTTTGCAGGTCAGCATTCAAGCCACTGAGCCACACCAGCCAGGGACCCTGTGACTATTTTGTACCTGCCAATTTCTACTTCTTAACCCCTTCACCTTTTTCACGCAGTCTCCCCGACCCCCAGCCCCTCTGGCAGAGCAAGGACGATTGCTCAAGCACTGGACCATGCGGTCGCAGAAGGGGGGAATAGTCACTATTGTTGTTACTGTTATCCGCACGAGCCCACTCTTGTGGATGTACCAGGAAGAACTTGCAGTCTTTAATTGTCCCCTGTGGGTGAAAACCGCAAGGTGTGGTCTAGGTTTGCTCAATCGACCTCTTTTCTTCTGGGCTTGGAAAGCCCGGAGCCAGCTGTTTCCACGGTTTGGTTTGCTGCTCTTGGGTCTTCGATCGTTCATGTTGACTTCTCCCGCGGGACCCCGTTAGATGCCAACAAACCACTCAAAACTCCAAAATCCAGAGGACAGCCTGCCTCTGGCGCTGTTCTTACCTCACCAAACCTCCAACTGCGGGAAGCACCTCTAGGCTGCAGCAGCGCTGGGCCCACGGGCCTGCTGCCCACATGTGGTGGGGCCACTCCTCCGTGTGGGCTCCTCCGTGCGCAGACGTGTGGTCAGTAGAGCCGGACTAGGACCTGGGTCCCAGCCCTGCCACAGTACTACCGTGTGCGTTCGGGGATAAGCCAGGGCACGTTATTTAGATGCTTGAAGCCTCGTTGTCCCACCTGTAAAATGGGGAGAACTGTAGTTCCTCCTTCATAAGGCTGTTACCCGAGCAAAGCATCCAGACCTGTGAACTCTCAGCGTGCTGCCTGTGCGCGGCGCCTTCAGGGTCAAGGAACATGAGCTACAGCTGCTCCTGTGTTTACACTAGGGCAGTTCCGGGGAAGCCAGAGGGCATCAGATGGGAGGTGCAGACCCCTTCCTCGGGTCAGAAAGGTCCGACTCCACACATCACCTGCCAGGCGGCTGCAACCTCAGGTGAACCACCTTTTCTTGCATCCCCCTCAGAAAGCTCAGAGAAGGCCCAGTCACAAGGCATCTGACTGAGACTGTTACTTGAGATGACCTGAGGGAGGAAGACCTTCTCGAAATCTCTGGAGCAGGGATATCTTGGGAGAGGGGAGGGAAGGAGGGGGCACACGCAGTTCTGGGCTTCTCCTTGGGCCCCAGCCTGAAGCCAGGTGGGCGACCAGCTCTCCTTCCCAGCCCTTCTCTCTCCTGCTCCCCCCTCCCCGGCAGGACTGGAGAACTGGGTCTGGGCTGAGGACATGGTCTCGGTCCCCGTGACGGTGCCCTGGAGCCCAGAGCACCAGCTGCAGAGGCTGCAGGTGACCCGCAAGCTGCTGGAGACAGAGGAGCAGGCCGCCTTCCCCCTGGGAGGTGCCTCCCCTCGCTACCTGTACCTGGCCAGCAACCAGAGCAACAAGTGGGGTCACCCGCGGGGCTACCGCATCCAGATCCGCAGTTTTGCTGGGGAGCCGCTGCCCCAGAGCAGCTCCATGGAGAGAGCCATCAGCTGGGGCAGGTGAGTGGAGGTGTGCTGGAGAGGCTGGGGGCAATGGCTTGTAGGAGAGGCCCCGTGTTGCTGGGAACCCAGGTTCTCCCACCTTCTGTGGATGTGCATTCACACTCACACACACACACACACACACACACACACACACAGGCCTGTGGCCTCAACTTTTAGCCATTTAATAGGAGGCCTACAGATTGGATGGATGAATGGAGTGATTCATGCAGAATCAAATACAATAAAGTGTTAAAGGTAGAGTCTGCATTGTGGGTATATGCGTGAGTGTAGTGAGTGCTCACTACACTATTCTTTCGACTTTCCTGCAGGTTTAAAATGTTCACGATAAGGGTTGGAGGAAGAAACAGAGTAAGAGAGGAGCACAGATCTGAGGGGGTATCCTCTAAAATCTGGGCACTCAAGATCATGAAATTGGCCTAAAACGGGAATGAAGCCCTGTCCATGCATTTGCCTCCAGGGCCCAGGCTGTGACCTAGAGGGATATATGTGCGGCATTGGGACCTGGAGTCTGAACAACGGGCCAGTTGACATTTGAGATGCCGGACAGATGTGGGAACTCTCTGAGAGTCAGAGAGACAGAGAGGGAGAACAGGAAGTGAACAGAGAGTGACAAAGAGGTTGGCCACTACCCCGAGACCGTTGTGCTTATTCTTCCTGTCTGTCCCCTCTTCAGGGCAGCCTCAGACAGCAGGACAGGTTGATGACCTTGTGGGTCTGACGCAAATCTCCTGTAGACACCAGCTGGCTGTGACCCAGCGGAGGGAGGAGGGGCCCAGCAGCGCCAGCATCTACAATCTGAACGACCCTTGGACACCCACCGTGGACCCCACTGACTTCATCAACAACGAGACTGTTGCCGGGCAGGTCAGTTACGAGGAGATGGTGGGAGCAAGGGTGAGCTACTTCCCTCTCTCCCAAGCCAGGGTCCTCCAGGGTCTTTAGAACCTGAAGGTTTAAGAAATGAAGAAATGAAGAAATGAAGCTAAGAAATAAAGCCTTATGATTGCACATCTTTCCTGGGTTAGTAAGCTGAATCCTTACAAACAAGGCTACCATCGGGGGCAGGCGCGTCCTCAGCAGAGTCAGGCCTCACAACCCTCTTCCTCTCCCCTGCTAGGACCTGGTGGCCTGGGTGACAGCCGGTTTCCTGCACATCCCACATGCAGAGGATGTTCCCAACACGGTGACTGTGGGGAACGGTGTGGGCTTCTTCCTCCGGCCCTACAACTTCTTTGACCAGGACCCCTCCCTCCATTCTGCCGACTCCATCTATTTCCGGGGGGACCAGGACACTGGGGACTGTGAGGTCAACCCCCTGGCTTGCCTCCCCAAGGCTGCTGGCTGCGCCCCCGACCTCCCTGCCTTCTCTCAAGGGAGCTTGTCTCACAGCTAGGTGGACCCCAGGATGGGGATCGTGTCCAGGGGCCCCGGGGCCAGGGTGTGTGGGAAGGGGGAGCAGTGGGTGGGCTCTGGGCCCAGAGGCCTGGTCTCACACGAAGATCCTCTCCTCCCCCACCCCCAAGGTCCTCTCTCCCATCAACGTCCTTTGCATCCCCCTCCTCCCTGGGAGCTTCCTGAGCCCAGGATGTGTGACACAGGGGGGACTCGGCTTTGTTGCCCCCACACCTGCTGCATTTCCGTCCCGGAGGGGAGAGGGATGGCCAGCCGGAGATGACGTGATGGCGAGACTTTGATCCAGAAGACTTGCTCTTTTTCCCAACAGTTTTTTAATGTTATTTTTTTACAATGAGATATAATTCATGTGCCATAAAATTCACCCTCTTAATGTGTATAATATAGTGGCCATTCATTCCAGAATGTTTTCATCACCCCAGCAAGAAATCCCACGCCTGTTAGCAGTCGCTTCCTGTTTCCCTCCATCGCCTTTCCAGCTCTCGGCAACCACCACGCTTTCCGTCACCGTAGATGAGCCCGTGTTCTGGACATTTCGTGTACATAGATCTACACGACACGTGGACATCCGTGGTTGGCCTCTTTCCGCACGATGTTTTCGAGGTGCATCCATCATGTCGCATGAAACTGCTTCAGTCCTCGACGGCCGAAGAGTATGCTGTCGTGTGAATGTCACCGCATTTTGTTCATCCATTCATCAGTCAAAGGACATCGGACTGTATCCACTTTTTGGTTATTATGGACAATGCTGCTGTGAACAGCCTTGTACAAGTTTTCCTGTGGACATAGGTTTTCAATTGAGCATGTAAATCTGGGAGTGGAATTTCTAGGTTTTATGTTTACTTTTTGAGGAACTGCCAGACTGTTTTTTTTTTTTTTAAGATTTTATTTATTTTTAGAGAGAGGGGAAGGGGAGGAGAGAGGGAGAGAAACATCAATGTGTGGTTGCCTCTCATGCGCCCCCTGCTGGGGACCTGGCCCTCAACCCAGGCATGTGCCCTGACCGGGAATTGAACCGGTGACCTTTTAGTTTGCAGGCTGGCGCTCAGTCCACCGAGCCACACCAGCCGGACTATTTTTCCACAGTGATGGCACCGTGTTTTTTTATTGTGGTGAAAACATAGGTAAAATGTACCACTGGGCCATTTTCAAATGCACAGGCCAGCGGCATCGGGCACATTCGGAACCTCCCCGGGGCCTGCTCAGCCCCTCCCCTGTTCTGGGCCTCAAGGAGGAAGGGGAGGCCTCTGGAGAGCAGCTGTCTTCTCGAGCCCCAGGGCAGGGCCTGTCCTGGCCGGCATCCCAGCCCTTGGGAAGGTGCTTCTCTGTCTTCAGTCCCTGTCATCCCGGCCCATTCCTTCTCCGTTCCTTCTTCCTCCTTCCTCTCGCTCCTTCAGCTTCTTTCTTACTCCCCAGTCTTCCGTCTGAGGTCCCGGGGGGATGCCCCTGCTGCCTCAGGTCCCGTAATTCTCCCATATCCCTCGGTTCCGGTGCCCTCCTCTGCGCCTGGGCTGGGGAGGCCTTGGACATGCCGGTGGTTGCCTTGTGGGAGAGAAAGACAATCCCCAGTCATCTCCTTGCGGGAGGTAGTAGTTTCTGGCCAGCTTTCTTCATCCGGTCTCTCCACCTCTCACTACCTGAACAAAGAGGCCCCTCCTGTCTGCCTGTCTGTCTGCACCGCCAAATAATCTTTCAGTCCCCGCCATTGACTTGACCATATGGAGTGTGCTTTTGAGAACGGGTAGGATGGTCAAAGGACAGCAGCAGTTTAGGGAGTTTTGTAGGTGACGTCACCTGTTCCCCGGGCGAGGGGTCACAGTGGCTTCCATTGCTGCACAGCAGTCAGGAGAGATGAGCAGGCTGTCACTGGGCGTAGGAGCCGGAAAGCCTCGGGAGCTCAGCCAGCCAGGGCAGGAGCTGCCGGATCAGGGGCGGGCAAGCACGCGAGCCAAGAGCTTGTCCCGGGGGTGACCTGGCCTGATCAGGCTGCAGGCTGCAGGCTGCAGGCTGCAGGCGGTGGGACCTCACATTCCTCCTCTTCCTCCCAGGGTGTGGACTTTGGATAAGAACTGGGATATTTTCCAGAAAAGAATGTCGGGCAGGGGTAAGTGGGGGAGAGGTAGGGCTCAAAGAGCAGGCTTGGTCAAGATCCTTCAGGCCGGAGAAACCCACCCAGCACACAGTGTCCACAGCTCTGCTTCCACTGCTTGCCCACTCCCCGCAGTGTCTTTTCTAGAAGGGGAGGCCTTGAGGTCAGGAAGAGGGGTCTCCTTTCCCAGTGGGAAACCCAGCCCACGGACCCCGCTGTAGGTCAGACCATGCAGACTTCAGGGCAGACGCTGAGGAGTTCAGGGCACAGAACTCTGGATCCAGCTCAGCTTGCTACCAGAGGGCAATGCACCCTGGGAACCCGGGCGCCATGGAAGTCCTGCCGGTCCCTCGAGAGCTACCTGGACGACAGGCTCACCTGGGTGAGCTGGAAAGAAAGGAAGTTCTGGCAAAGGAATCTTCAGACAAAGACTAAACACCGTGGGAGCCATGTTCTTCACTCAAGAATAACAGCCCTGACTGGTATAGCTCAGTGGATTGAGCGCAGGCCTGTGAATGAAAGGGTCGGGGTTCGAATCCCAGTCAGGGCACATGCCTGGGTTGCGGGCCAGGTCCCCAGCAAGGGGCATGGGAGAGGCAACCACACATCGATGTTTCTCTCCCTCTCTCTCCTTCCCGTCTCCTCTCTCTAAAAATAAACACATAAACTCTAAAAAAAAATGCTAAAGAACAACAGCAGGATCTGGTAACGAGCACTCAGATGGGAAAGAGTTGAGGCGGCGTCGGTTTGCTGTTGCTGGTCCTTCTTCCCTTTTCGCTTTACCCTCTCAGCCCAAACAAGTGTCATGTTTTGACTTTCTTGTCTTGTTTAAAGAAACTTGGACCACGATGGACAAAAATGCTCCCAAAACAAACGCTGTGGAGGAGCCAAGGACCCCTCTCCTGGCCGCCCCGCCCCTGCTTCTCCAGGTGCAGGGACGGGGAGAGGAGACCCGTGGCCCCCGGCCGCGGGGGGGACTCTGCTGCTGTGACTCTCACCTGCTGACCCACGAGCGTGCGATGGGGGTCCCCAGTGGGGCCAGAGGGCACAGCTTGAGCCGCCCCAAGGGCGTATGCGCACAGAGACCCCATTGGAGGGCTCTCCTGGGAAGTTACCTCTCCGGCCACGAGAGAGAAGCAGCCAGACCCTGAGGAACGCAGCCCAGAGAAAACCAAAGGGTCAGAATAGCGAAGGTTCAGGGGAACCTGGCAAGTGTGAGGGAACCTTGGAATGTCTGCCATCCGGGGACCTTGGGCATACAGATCCCACTGAAGGGGCCTCAAACCCTCCCCTCCCCCCCAGCCACGTGTAGCATTGGGATATACTAGTATGCGAACTCCCTGGACTGGCCCCTCGGTGGTGCCGGCTTCATGTTCCTGCTCCAACGCGGGGCCTGTGGCTGCTGGTTGACCGTGTTTGCTCCACTCGGGCTCAGGCAGGGGTCTGCATCTTGGGTAGCGTTCCTCCTGACGACCTCTGGGCCCTGAGACGGGAAATAGACCACAGCGTTCCCGGTGGAGCATGGGTGTCTGGCACCCTCCCACTGCGTGTTTCTCGCACTCCCTGACCTGCGTCCCTGTGCCAGAAGAGGATGGGGGCCCCTCTTTTCTGGAGGACACTCCAGGAATGTGATGTCCCGGTCTCTCCCACTTCCCCCACTGAAACGGAGCCAGTGTGGTGGAGACGAGGCTGGGCGGGCTCATTTTCATCTGTCGCTTCGTCAATTCCTCACGACAGTCTCGAGGAGCAGATGCTATTATCCCCAGTATTATCCACAAGTGAGGAAACCAAGATTCTCGGGGATCAGGTTGCTTGCCCCAAGTCACCTGGCTGGTCAGGGGTGGGGCTGGGATTGAACCCGGGTCTCTGCGGAATGACATCCGACCGCCTTCCCGGTGCCCCTGCTTGTCTTCACTGACCGGCAGGCCTGGTTAAAGAATTCAACAAGGTCATGCTTGAGAAGCGTTTGGCACCTGACCCGTGCATGGTAAGTGAACCTCTAAGAGCAAAATCAACACTCCATGGACCAGGGCGAAAATATGCACAGTTGCCTTGAAGCAAAAGCGCTCAGCCTGGACTGTGCCTGAAATCACGGGGGAGCCTGTGCAACTCCGTACGCTCAGGCGGCATCTCACACTGATAAAATCAGAATCTCTGGGCCTGAGGCTCCGGCGTTAGCCCTATACATTTTCCCCAGGTGATTCTAACATGTGGCCAAGGCTGAGAAAACCCTGGGGCAGCAGTTTAGTTCCTCACGGTCCAAAGGGGCCTGACCAGAGAGTATAAGACGCGTAAAGACCTTGTCTGTCACATTCTTGGATCACGTGGCTTTGCTCTCCCTGCTCCCTTAGTGCGTCAGCAGGGTCAGCAGGTGTGCTGCCGAGGCAAGCGCTCCCTCAGCGCTTTAGACCAAACCCTTCGACGGAAGTTCACACGCCGAACTCGGGCTCATTGTCTGCACCTCCCCTCCTGCCCCACTGCAGAACCTGAGCCCCCCTCCCTGGGGGCAAGAACCACGTCCTGCTGGCCTTGGCAGCTGGCACCCAGCATGGTGCCGCACGCATCATAGGGGCTTAAATACATCTTTATTGAAATCTGAAAAAAATGGTAACAGTTGTTAGAGTCAAGTGAGACTTTGCCTTGTAAAAACCCATTTCCGATGCAGTCTCTCCTTTGACTACCTCAAAAAAGAGGATCGAAGAAAGTCCAAAGGTCCTGAGTGAAAAATCATCCTGGCTGCGCAGGTGAGGCCGGGACGTGGGTGGTGGGAGGGCTGCACTGACACGCAGAGGAGCCCCAGCAATTCCTGGGGTGGGGTGGGGGGGACCTGCCACACTGGACTCGGCTGCCCAGCAAAGGCTGCAGGGCAGGGAAGACGGAACAGACAGGTGGCAGGTCTCTAAGTCAATCCCCCATGGTTGGTCCCCCCCCCCAAAACCGGCAGGAGGGGCCCAGAGCTTGGGGCAAACCTAAGAGAACGTGGTTGGGTGAGTTAGAAGCACAGGCTGGGTATTGGACCCCCAAATGCTATAGGATTTGGCACGCACGTGGGGAAGGGTGTTTCTCAGGCAGCAAATCAAGGAGTTAATGTTTTCCTCATTCTGCAACGTGGCATAGAGGTTTATAATGCGGCTTCTAGAGCCAGATTCTGGGGTTTGGACCCGGTGAGTGTGACCTTGGGCAACTTATTTAACTTCTCTGGGCCTCGCCTTCATCGCCTGTAAATGGGGACACAATTTTTAGGAGGATTAAATGAGTTAGTCTGCATACTTTTTCAAGACTAGTTCTTGGAGTACAGTAAGTGATTCAATATTTTATTAACCAGCATCTGCTGGGTGTTTCAACTGCTGCACAATAAGTTGCCCTGAAAAACAGTGGCCTAACCCATCAGACCATTTCATTTGGTCGTTAGTCTGCAGGTTGGCCTTCTGAGCTGAGCTCAGCGGGGCAGTTCTTCTGCTGGAATCACCTGGAATTGCTCTCATGGCTGCAAACACCTGGCAGAGAGACTAGGGCTGGGTGGTCTGAGACGGCCTCACTCCTGTCTGGCAGCTGGGGCTGGCAAAAGTGGCAGAGGTAGACAAAAGATCACAGAAAAATGATTAAAGAATTAAAAAAGGCCTGGGAGTAGCCCTGGCTGGTGTGGCTCACTGGATTGAGGGTTAGCCTGCAAACCAAAGGGTTGCCAGTTCGATTCCCAGTCTAGGGCACACGCCTGGGTTGCTGGCTCGGGTCCCCAGTGCGGGGTAGGGGGTACATGAGAGGCAATCCCACATTGATGTTTCCCTCCCTTTTCCTCTCGAAAAATAAATAAAATCCAAAAAAAAAAAGGCCAAGGAGCGGACTTGACTGTGAGAAGCTCACAGCGACTTCTCAGTACAGCGGCGGAGGAGGCTGCAGGTGCACAGGGTTGAGGAGAGCTCTGAACACCCTGCTCTCTGCAATTCAAGGTCGGAGAGATCTCCGGGCCTTACAAGATCCCGAGGCTGTCCTCCTTCCACTTCAAACCTCTTAAAGTGAAGAAAATCTTTTGTCTTGAAAATAAAACAAACACTGACTCTCCTTTCTACCCTGGGGGAGAGAGGCCCGCCAGGCCCTCCTCACCCTTCTTGCTCTCCTGCCCGCCGGCGGGCAGGCGCTCAGGCACCGTCAGGACTCGCATCCAAGGGAGACGGCGGACAGACTGCTGTTTACTGCCTAGCGTAGCCCTGCTGTGTTTTCACGGCTCAGAATAGTTCCCTGGACCTCTCCAGGCCTGGGGGGGGGTGGCGGGGGTGGCCTCACTGTTTGTTTTCATGACAATTCCGGGCCTCACCTCTTCCTCTTTCTCTGCATCATGGTCCTCATTTGGGAACTCTCGGAAGGGGTAAGTTGTGGGTTAAGAGGGTCCGAGACTACTAATTTCCTACTTAGGCTCCCCAGCTGGGTTCCAGAAGACAGAAGGACAATCACTGACTGGACAACGTGGGCATTTTGGTTGGGATAAAAATTCCACGGCTCTTAAAGAAAGAGCTGATTAGAGGACTCCAGGGCAGAGCTGGGGGAGAGGAAGAGGGGGGAAGAGAGGGTGGAAGGGACGACCCCTCCCTGATCTGGACCCTGGCTGGAGCTGGGCTCTGCCTCGGGAGCTGACTTCCGATTGAGAACTGGGGGGGGCGCCTCTCCGACTCTGGGTGCATCGCAGGTCTCAGCGGGACTCTGGCAGGACCAATGTTTGGAAGGTGCCCAGAGGTGGGAGGAAGGACTGACTTCACTGAATACTCTTTCGAACTCTTTGAATGTTTTGAAACCATGCGACTATGTTCCTTTTGAACATATTTTAGCTAAAAAAAAAATATGAGCACACCTGTTTCTTCTGGCAGTAATGAATCCTGTACTTCTGTTAGGTCACTCAAAGGCAGGCCCCACCTCACTGGAGCTCCATTCAAAGGAGCAGCCCAAGTCAGGGATTGTTAGAACCGAAAGGAGGGTGAGGGTGACCAGTCTCAGCGGACAGCTGACAGAAGTAAAGTCCAGGGAGCTCCAGTGATGTGACCAAGATCACACAGCTCTTTACCTTCCTATTTATTCTTTCTGTTTTTACCTTACAAATCCTAGTGACACCCTGGCTGGTGTGGCTTAGTGGATTGAGTTCCAGCTTTCGAACCAAAGGGTCACTGGTTTGATTCCCCATGCCGGAGTTGTGGGCCAGGTTCCCCTGTGCAGGGTGCAGCATGAGAGGCAACCACACACTGATGTTTCTCTCCCTCTCTTCCTCCCTCCCTCCCCTTCTGTCTAAAAATAAATAAATGAGTCCTAGTGATGCGGTGTGGGACAGTGTCACGGGCTGCCTGCTAGAAGCTTGAGGATGCTTTCTGAGGGTCTTCTAAGGAAAAAACGCTCCCAGCTTTTATGCCCCATGCGTCCCCAGTCCCTGCCTCGTTCCGCGCCCAAGCAGGCGGAGCTATGACTGAGTGATGGGTGACGTATCCTCTCCCTTTTTCCTCTAGTTGTCCCCGGTTCTTTGAGGTCATCTATGAGCTGAAGCAAGGAGGGACAGTAGGTTGGGGCTAGGTCTCCAGCTCACACTTCCCATCTCCCGTCAGACAGTCCATCTTTGCCTCTGGGGCACAGGCCAGGAGGAGCTTTTTCCAAACAGTCCCAACTGCTATTTTAGAGGCTCACTTCCCTTGACTCTGCCTCTGCTGGACGCCATCACCAAGGTCAAACTCCTGGCAGAAAGGATCAAAGTCAACCACAGGGATGTGTCCTGGTGACCAGGGTGGGTTGGCACCACCAAAGGGTTGATTGTGAGTTGGAGAAGTGTCACCACTTGGTCACCAGGGAACTGGTTGGCCATGTGTGGGAACAGGGTATTCTCAAGGGGGGAACAGCAGCTTCTTTGGGGAAGGGGGGTAAAAGGAGATGGAGGAGAAGGAGAGGAAAGTCAGAAAGCCAGCCTGCGCGTCCCGTAAGGATTCCAACGATTCACTCAGTTTTGGTAGAGAGCAGACCCCGAGGTGGCAGGAGGGGAAGGGAGTAAGCAGGGAGTCCTCAGTGTTGACCACGAAGCCGATGTCCCCTGGCATTTCCCTGTGGACAGAATGTCCAGCCCATCCTGAGGCAGGGAGCATGCTCCCCGCACCTGGTCGATGAGTGCACAGTTCAAGGTCCTGGAGCTGAACTTTTCTCACCAGGCCCGAGATAAGTCAGCCATGTTCACTGGCTAGCAATGATTAACCCGCCCTTTCCCTTCACCTACTTTCCCCCACGTATTTTTGTGTAAAACATGAACAGGGTCACTCACTTAAAAGGTGACAGCAGTTGATTGAACCAGTTTCTACTGTTTACCCCGACACACCTCCCCCACTGACTAACTGGTGGGGGCGAAAAAGCACTTAAAAAGAGATAAACAAGGACAAAAGCTGTACATCCCACAGCGTGGCTTGGGACCCTTCGGAGAAGGCTCCCCCACTGCTCAGGCAAAGCCTTGGCCTCAGGCTGGGTTCTGCGTCCGTGGATCAGTGTCCAGACCAGCCCCGTGCAAAAAGGCAGCGCCTCTCCCAGGGGACCCAGAGCCCCAGCCAGGACAGAGGATTTGGCTGTAGGTAATGTCAGGATTTATTTTTGGTCATAAAAGCCACTTGTGGAGGAGATGTGCAGTAAATTATGACTCCTTCCCCTCCTTGCTCCCCCGCCGGCAAATAAACTTGTCTGAGTGAGTGAGTCAGCCTGGGTCTGTGAGGGGAGGGCGCCAGGACGCTGGCAGCAGCTGCACGTCCTGAACAGCAGACCAGACTGCACGGCCTGGCCCCTTCCCGTCATTCATGCTCTTCCCAAACCAGGACGCCCCAGCCTCTGGGTTTCTGTCTGCGGGGGAAAGCGCCTGGGGAGTGCCCAGCCAGGGCTCCTGCCGAGGAGCCGCGGAACTTTCCATCTTGACTAGGCCGGTCCCTTTCCCAGAGGCTGTCCATAAGTCTAGAGTCGGGGACAAAACGATGGGGAGCTCAGTGATATTTGTAATATGGGTTCAGTTTCAATCTGAAGACCCCCCAATAGGCACAGTTAGTTGTGTGAGTGTCTGACTTCCCTGCCCCGAGAGAGCCTGCAGGTGCCGGACCACAACCAGGATTTAACTCGGAATTCCTCAGAGGGCCAGGCACGGCTCCGCTCAGGGAATGTTTGTGGACTCCAACCAGAGAGCTTCTTGAAAGGGAAGGATGAGCCCTGGCCGGCGTAGCTCAGTGGATTGAGCGTGGGCTGCGAACCAAAGCATCGCAGGTTCGATTCCCAGTCAGGGCACATGCCTGGGTTGCAGGCCATGACCCCCAGCAACCACACATTGATGTTTCTCTCTCTCTCTCTCTGTCTCCCGCCCTTCCCTCTCTAAAAATAAATAAATAAAATCTGTAAAAAAAGAAAGAAAGGGAAGGATGATGGGAGTTGAGGAGGTGATGGGATTCCCTCTCCGGAGAGAGTCTTGGCATGAGTGGATTCTCATCAAAACCTTCAGCAGCTCCAATGCCTCGTCCGCACGGTTCGCCTCAAATATCCACACGTCCTTTGAGCGTTTGAAGGCTCCACGGTTTCCCTCCTCCGTCAGCTTCCCAGCAGGTCCAGGTCTGTGGGGACCTCACCCCTTTCTGCACGTGATAGAAATGTCCTGGAGACAGCAGGAAGGGCCCGGAAGGTAGAGAGAGAGGTGGAAATGGCAGATCGCCTCCTGGCCACACACAATGGCTGGGACCAGGAGGGTCTGTCCCCCTGCCGGGCCGGCTGCCGGCCGGAGGGGCTCCTCCTCTACTCCCCCGTGTGTGGATAGGGGCCCCATCGGGACTACTTACCAACACAAGCATTCTCCCCGAGGTCCCTCCAAAAGACGGGGCTCTCCACCGCCCCGCCCCCACACGCCGAGCACACGGCTCCCCGCAGCCCTGTTGGAGAACCAGATAGCGGCCTTCGAGTCTTTTGCCAGAGGATCTGCCCCATGTGTCCTCAACTCACCTCGTGCCACAGAAACTCCAGCGCACAGAGGTCACAGCAGTAGTTACTCAATACTTTCGAGGAAGGCTTATCTTCCCCTCGAGGGGTGGAGGGGAGAGACCATCTCTCCCAGTGGGGCCCTCTACCTGTGGCCTGGCAGCCCTGATAACACAGAACACCCTTCCCCATAACACTGCCAAGTTCACGGTTTATTTGCAGCCCACCCACAGCCGCCACCACCATTGCCTGCTCTCCAGGCTGGGCATGGTTAGATAGGGTCGCCTGAACCAGCAGGCTGGTGTGGTCAAGGGCAGTTGGAGTCTGCTCGAGGTGGGTGGGAGCCCGTGAGACTGGGGGTAGGATGCCAGCCCATACCTCCCAGACGATGCTTTAATCATTTCCAGCGAGGAATGTTGTCTACCTCTGCTCCAGACTCAGTAGCTCTGCGTTCCTTTCCCCTGACCCCAAGTTACCCCTTACAAGGCAATATGGACTTTCTAGTGGGAAATTGAGGTGGATTTTGTAAGTTTTATTCCCAGTACCTCTTATCCTGGAGAACATGCCCCCGTTCGTCGCCGGACTCAGCCCCTGCTTCCTTCAGAGTCCTGGCAGACGCAGGTGTGAGGTCCCGGCACCTGCGCTGCTGCAGAGCGACCTCACCTGTGCGGGCGAGGAGGCGGCGTTGCCTCTCACAGCTGGGCGTCTGCTCCTCCCGCGTATTCCCTGCCTGTGCCCGTGGGGAGGATAAACTCGCGCTGACCTCCTGGGGAGTGTGCCTACCTCCCATCACCAAGGAAAGGGGGGTCAGACTGCAGGAGCCCTTTCCAGAGCCCTCGGCCACTCACTTGCTGGTGTTTTTATCTGGAGCCCCATCTTCATCATGCTGCTTTTGCATGGACATACATTTCATGCTATTGCTTAAATTAATGTGTTAAAACCCCAAAGGTCCTAACTTGAAGGACATTGAATACAAATGCATCAGTGCGTCCAAAGATCATTGTTTTCCATCCCTACGCTACGGAATCCTATGGGGAGAGGGTTTGAGCTCCGGAAGCAGAGGTTTTCCTAAACCTAATGCGGTGAAGAAAGACCCAGCCAGGTGACTGGACCCCGTATAGTAGAATTTCCTATTTTCTAAATTAAGAACTTAAAACCTGAATCGCTAGGCTCTTCTTTGTCCCCATATAGGTGCAGTTGCAGACTTAGGAGATCAGGATGTTTGCGAACCCCACGGTGCCTCAGACTCTGCTCGGTGCCGCTGGCTGGTTTCGGAGCCCAGCGGGCAGCCCCTGGCACTGGGAGGCGGCATCCCAAGTTAATCATTGGCCCCGCAGAGCACACGGCCGGCCGGGCTGTTTGTGCGAGCCTGTTTTTCTATTTTACGTAAATCACCCTGAACATGTTTGTATCAACCTACTGATGATGCACCTTTGATCAATAGTTTTTAGACAAAAGTGCTTTCTGAGTCCAAAGATCAGGGCTGGGTTGACCTGCAGACCGGTTACGGGGTGTATAAAACGGGCAAGACGCAGGCTGATAGCAGAGCTATCTCCACCGCGTCGGCAGGAGCTCAGCCGGCGGCCTCCCGAGGGACCGGGGAGGGAGGATGGAGGGAGGCATGGACCTCCTCCACGACTTTGGCATCCAGTCAACGCGCTACCTGCAGGCGAACTACCAGGACTCCCAGGACTGGTTCATCCTGGTGTCCGTGATCGCAGACCTCAGGAATGCCTTCTACGTCCTCTTCCCCATCTGGTTCCACCTCCGAGAGGCTGTGGGCATCAAGCTGCTCTGGGTGGCCGTGATTGGGGACTGGCTCAACCTCATCTTCAAGTGGTGAGTAGGAGCTGGCAGAGAGGAGCCCGGCCCGGAAAGAGGCCGGCGCGCTTGCTGGGAATGTCTGTCCGTCTCCGTCGGAAGCTGCCTCCTCCACGCTGATCAGAAAGCCACAGGTCACCCCCCCTCCTGACTTCCGAGCAGCTACAGAGAGAGAGAAGACAGAGAAAACCCTGTCAGTGAGCTGAAGATCCAGGGAAGACCATTTCACATGGAAGGAAGGCCAGCAGGACTTAGTGAAAAGTCTGAATGATAGGCTGTAAGCAAAGAAACACAGTGTTACCACTTCGCGGCAGCATAGGTGACGTGAAGGTAGACGTACGAAAGAAAAACAAACGATGTGTGAGAGGAGCACGGGGTCGCACCCAGGCCTGGTTCAGCCACCTCAGCTGCATGGCCCCGGGCAAGTCAGAGTAACTCTCTGCGCTTCTGTGTGATAATCTGTAAACGCAGGTGATCTCTGGGACCTTCATGAGAATTGTAGTGAACGTTTGTTGAGCATGTAGTGTGTGCCAGGTCACATGCGAAGTGTGTTTCTGGAGGTAGTAACTGTGTTAGAGATAAAGTGACCACACCTAGACCAACATGGGGAGTGAACGCCAGAGGCAGGATTTTTAAAATTTATATATATTTTTATAGGGGGAAAGGGCGGGAGAAAGAGAGGGAAACATCCATGTGCTGTTGCCTCTTGAGCGTCCCCTACTGGGGGCCAGGTCTGCAACCCAGGCATGTGCCCTGACCAGGAATCGAACCATCAACCCCCTGGTTCGCAGGCTGGTGCTCAATCCACTGAGCCACACCAGCCAGAGGTAGAGGCAGGATTTACCATAAGCTCGGGCAAGGCAGGCTCCAGGAGCAAGGCACTTGAGAACCATGTTATATCCGGTGCTGATAAACTGACTCCTGGAGGGGGTGGGGAAGAACCCCAATTTTAGCACTGGCCCATTTCTACTGTTCCTACACTCCCATTACAGCCACTCACAAGCTATTGAAGAGTTCAACTTGCAAAAATCCTGGATATTTCACAGTTATTAGCCAGTACCAGCTGACTTTAGCACATTCCTGGCTTGGCCTCTCTCTCCTCACCCAGGGATGAGGAGTTGGACCAGTTGCTCTCTCTGACTGCTACCATCCCCAAACCTACGACTATCGTCAGACGAGTCCTAAGTCTCTTCCAGCTCTGATAGTCGTTGGCCACAAACAATGAAAGTCCTTTAGAACAGAAAAAAAATATTGGGCTCAGAAGCCCAAGTCATATTGATGGGATTCTGAAATTTCTGCTGAAAATCCACTTGCTTTTGTCTATAACATCCCCTATTCAACAGCATGACCCTAAAGAATAAAAAAGATAAATGGGTATTCCAAACATCTGATCTCAATCAAAGGACAATGGGTTTTTCTCTGAACTGGTGGAGGTGAGTGAGTGGCTATCCCTGTTTTTGATAGGCAATCACCATTCCACCACTACAGTGGGGGAAAAGGCATCCAGACGGACTTCTGACACCGCTTTCCACAATGAAAAATATATCTAGTCCAGCCCTGGCCAAGGGGCTCAGTTGGTTGGAACATGGTCCCGTCACCAAAAGGTTGCAGGTTCAATCCCCAGTCAGGGCACAAACCTAGGCTGCAGGTTCGATCCCCAGTCCCAGTACATATGAAAGGCAAGTAATTGATCTCTCTCTCCCTCTCTCTCTCTCTCTCTCTCTCTCTCTCTCTCTCTCCCTCCCCCTTCCTACTCTCTAAAATCAATAAGCATGCCTTTGGATGAGATTTTTTTATTTAAAAAAAACCTATCTAGTTCCTTTAAAAAGGAAGTGGTCTGTCTGAGATACTCTGTTTCACAGCAAAGAGGATACAAAGCAAGCACCCGAAGCTACTATGTCCTTACAGGGAGTTACTCTGATGGCCAAGAAGGCCACGTGTCTGGGAAGTGGGGCGCTTGTCCCTGGGTTTGGGGCTCAGTTTCCGATCCCTGAGGCCTGAAGAAACAGAAGAGGGACTGGTAGGATAGGCAAGTTCAAGTTGCAAACTATAGTTCCATATGCATCGTTCCAGAACAAATTTTTCTTGGACTTTAAAAAAAAGTCACATAGCTGGCTATGAATATGGATTTTTGGATCTCAGATTTATTGTGGGTTTTTTTGTTGTTGTTTAAATAAATAACACATTCGCATAGTTCAAAACTCATAAGTTATATAAAGGACGTACTATAAAAAGTCTCCCTCCCCCATCTTCCCAGTCACCCAGTTCCCCTTCTTGCAGGTGCCAATCCACTGGTTTTAGTCTCTCGTGGACCTTCTGCCCACACTCCTCCCTCTTCCCGAAGGTATGGGCTTCTGACAAAAGTGTCCCTTCAGTGACTCCACACACCGGTTCTGCTTTTCTACAGGATTCTCTTCGGGCAGCGCCCGTACTGGTGGGTCCTGGACACGGACTACTACGGCAATACCTCGGTGCCACAGATAAAGCAATTCCCGGTCACCTGTGAGACTGGGCCAGGTGAGAGTGCCACCCTCTGCAGAGACAGACGCCGAGTGGCCCTTGCTCGCGGTGGACACCTATTAACATTTGTGGTGGGTGCAGCTGTCCTTGAGGGGACTCGAGGAGAGCCTTTCCTTCGAGATTTTCCTCATGGTCTTCAAGGTGGTACAATTCCATATTTTAATTCACTTCGAGAAGGCCGTCCTGTGTAGCATTTCGCTGCTGCTGCTTTGGAAATCTGCCTAATGCTTCCAGAACGTTAATTGCTAACCCGGACAGGCAAGCACCCTCACGGGCAAAGGGCTTATGAGAGGAAGCGTGTTATGGCTCTGTGCCCAAGAAAGGTTAAGCCCTAGAGGCCCGAGGCCCTGGCTGTCCTTCCCAGAGGCCTGGCCTGGCCTGGGAGCTGTGTCCTCCTGAGCCGGCCATTCCAGACCCGCACGCTGCCTGTATTTTGCTAGTTACGGCCATACTAGTATCGTGCAGTCATCAGAGCAGCCATCACATTAGGTCTCCCTCACCCTCGGGAGGGGTGCCAGTATCCCTTCCTCGGGGCCCCTGTCCCTGACCCCCAAACTAGGACGTGCCCCAGAGTTGCTTGTTCTCACAAACCTTGTGTTCACTTCAGACCCTACTCACCACCCAGGTGTTATTTACTGAGTACCTACTCTGTGCCAGACACTGTTCTGGGCACTTGGGATGCCTCCGCGAATCAAACAAAGATCTCTGCCCTTGTAGAACTGACACTTACATGGTATGTGTGTGCCTGCACGTACACACACAACATATGAAGTCGTAGCACACAAGTAAAATATGTAGAATGTTAGAAGATGATCCTTTAGAGGAGGAAGGGGGAGGACGTGGAGGGGAGGAGGAAAGACGAGGACAGGTGTTGCCTACGGGGCTCCGTGGAAAGCAGACCCAGGTGCAGACCAGCGTGCAGGAGCTCAGCTCCTCTCAGGACTAGCACCGACGGGAAGGAATACAGAAGCCAACCAGGCAGGAGGGGAAGTCCAGTTGCAACGCTGCCTCCACCTACTCCACGGGGCGCTCCGGAACTGGGGGTGGCCCTTCTGAGTTGCCTGAATTGGGTCAAGAGGCCCAGGCCCTCATACTCCCAATATAGACCAGTGATTGGGTACTGGCCACCCCCCACCCCCAGGTCCCCTTCTCCCCCCAGGAGAAGGTAACCTTGATCGAGATGGCTCTCTTCAGCCCGGGGCAACGCCCAGAGAAGGCTGAGAGTGAAGGCCCATCTGTGACCACACTCTCAACATCTGAAAAAATAAGTCCTTCAAATTAAATTAAATAGGGTGGTTGCTGTAGGACTCACTGAGAAAGTGAGATTTAAGCAAACACTTGAAGGAGGCAAGGAAATTAGCCAGTATGTTTCTGGAGGCAAACTAGTCTGAGCAGAAAGACGGACAGGGCCCAGACCCGGAGGTGGGACTAGGTTGACAGGAAAGCGAGGAGGCCGGCGTGAGTGGAGCAGAGGACACAAGGACAGTGGGAGACAGGTAGCGGAGGGCAAGTCCGTTTGCAGTTACACATCCAGCACGCTGGCTTTTTTGAATAGACTGCGTGTAAGTACCAGAGTTGGGCCTTGCCTGGCTTCGCTCACCACTGCACCCCCAGAGCCTAGCCCAGCCCAGAGCTGGGCTTGTAATAGGAGCTCAATAGATACTTGTTAAACAGGTGGCTAAATGGATAAGTGAATGGATGTCACGGTGGATGGACAGAAGGACGGATGGATGGATGGATGACATCCCCTAGCAGTCTCCCAGGTGGACACTTGCACCTTTAATCCTTTCATTCATCTCTTTCCTGCCCTGTAGGGAGTCCGTCCGGCCACGCGATGGGTACCGCAGGTGTCTACTACGTGATGGTCACATCCACCCTCTCTATCTTTCGGGGAAAGAAAAAGGCCACCTACAGATTTCGGTAAGAACTCAGGCCTGGGGTGTGGGTGGTGGAGAGCAGGAGGGGGCCCCTTCCGTAGCTGACACACCCCTGGCTCTCCCTCGCATGCGCCTAGCCCCTCCCACACTCTGGGCAGGTGCTGATAAGAGCTGTGGCCTGTCTGCTCTGCGTCAAGATTAGAGTCGCCGAATGTCAGGGCTGGAAGACACCCACAGGTGCACGCCCTCATTGTACAGAAAAGGAAACAAGCCCTTAATGTGGCAGAGGGGCTTCTTGAGATCAGGTAGTTAGGTCGTGGTAGGATTTGAAGAAAGACCTATTTCTGTACGAACCTCAGAGTCTTCCCCTCCGGGTTAAAATAAACAGAGAAACGCCAGACATTCCTGCTACAGGGAATTCTGGGTAGGCAGCCACCAGGCAAATAAACTTCTCAAATTCAAGCGTTCGCCATGTGCCACAGGCATCTTTGAGCTTGCAAGCCCAGGCATTCATTTACAAATATGCCACCGATGGCATCTCAGTTTGACAGGCCTCAACACTCCTGCTGAAGCTGTTCCCTTAGCTGGAGGGTCTGTGTCCGGGGTCTGTGACGGCTGCCTCTTCTCTTGCAGGTTTTTGAACGTCATTTTGTGGTTGGGGTTCTGGGTCGTGCAGCTGAACGTCTGTCTGTCCCGGATCTACCTCGCTGCTCATTTCCCCCACCAGGTTGTTGCCGGAGTCTTGTCAGGTACCAGCTGCTCCGGCTCCCTCCCTCCCTCCCTCCCTCCCCCGCCCATCCCATTTCTCCCTGATCAGGACAAAATCCAGCATTCCAGCTTTGTTCTGTAGTTATCAATGCTGTTAGCAGTTCAGTGGGTTGAAAGTCAAGGGTAGCTCATTTGAAGTGATTCACTTCTATAGGAGTGCCCAGATATACCCAATTAAGTGTGTTCCAGAGAAACTGCACTACACGAAGTTACTTCTCCAATTAAATTAGCTTGAAATCTCCGAGATTTTGACATTCTTTATTTCTCACTGATTTTCAATCGGGAGTGGCCCCTAGTTTAATTTTAAGGGGCTCTACCAAATTTAACAAATTAACACAGTGTCCTAGGAAAGCTCTTTATTTGAATAAGTTCATTTGCAAACCTAATAGATACTCGCAATCCATCTTTTTAATAAGTTCAGTGTTTTGAATATTTGTGTTTTCTTAGATTCAGTTAACAAGGGGCAGAAAAATATTGGGGTTAAATGTAGAAAAAATTTCTTGATTTTTGTGGGTGGTTTAGAATATAAAACTTCAGGGAAATTATGATATTTTTCCCCCTGGAGACCTCTGAGAGCAGAAAACAGTGCTGAGAAGAAGCAACATGATGACTCCATGGCAACTACGAAAGTAACACAACATTCAGCACTGGGCTCCATGTCTGAGGAGGAGCCTGGAAGCCAGGTCACGTGAAAGACCCGAGACTGTGTAGGTTAGGGAGGAGAAGAACTGGCTTCCAATAGGCTACAGGGGCTCTAGATTTACAACTTCACTCCTACAGACAGAACCGAGACCAACAGATGGCATTACAGGGGAACAGACTTCATTCGGCTAAGCGAAAGAAAGACCTCTTTTTTTAAAAAAGATTTTATTTATTTATTTTTAGAGAGGGAAGGGAGGGAGAAAGAGAGAGAGAGAGAAACATCAATGTGCGGTTGCTGGGGGTCATGGCCTGCAACCCAGGCATGTGCCCTGACTGGGAATCGAACCTGCGATGCTTTGGTTCACAGCCCGTGCTCAATCCACTGAGCTACGCCAGCCAGGGCAGAAAGACCTTTTTAGTGATCAAATCCATTCAAAGATGAAAGGGGCTGCCCAAGTGGGAGTGAGCTCTCCAGCCCTGAGGGTATTCAACTAGAGACAGGAGCACCTGGACAGGACATGTACATGCAGTGGGAGGGTGTATGTGACATGACTCTTCCTCCTGAGAGAGTCTATGGCTGAGGAAAGGGTGGAGTCACCTATGAGAATAAACCAGGTGACCCTCTAGTTTATGATTTAATGGGTGACAGATGACATGTCACCCATCGGTTCCCAACCCACCTATAACTGGAGGTCCGGAGTCTTTCCTGCTTCTCACCGTCATTCTCTCTCCCGCCCAGGCATTGCTGTTGCTGAGACTTTCCGCCACATCCAGGGCATCTACAACGCCAGTCTCAAGAAATACTTTCTCATTACCTTCTTCCTGTTCAGCTTTGCCATTGGATTTTACCTGTTGCTCAAGGGGCTGGGTGTGGACCTCCTGTGGACTCTAGAGAAAGCCAAGAGGTGGTGTGAGCGGCCAGAATGGGTCCACATTGACACCACCCCCTTTGCCAGCCTCCTGAAGAACGTGGGGACCCTCTTCGGCCTGGGGCTGGCTCTCAACTCCAGCCTGTACAGGGAGAGCTGCAAGGGCAAGCTGAGCAAGTGGTTCCCGTTCCGCCTCGGCTGCATCGTGGCCTCCCTCGTGCTCCTGCACCTCTTCGACTCGCTGAAACCCCCATCCCAAGTGGAGCTGATCTTCTACGTCCTGTCCTTCTGCAAGAGCGCGGCAGTGCCCCTGGCCTCTGTCAGCCTCATCCCCTACTGCCTCGCCCGGATCCTGGGCCAGCCGGACAAGAAGTCTTTGTAAAGACTGTGGAGCCTTCAGTATTTAAAGCCAACGGCTGTGCCAAGGCCTGAGGGCAACTAGCATCTTCTGCCAGCCCACTGTGAGGCCAGAAGCGCCCAAGTCTTGCCCTGCGTGACCCACTTCCTCCTTTGCATTTCTAATTCGTACTGGGGGATGGTTTTTGAAAGGCTATAATGAGGGTATTTGAGGATACCCTTGTCTGTGAGAAGTCGAGTTCTTCTGGATCTTCCCCTGAAGACTTCCTTGTTCTTCTGTCAGACGTCCGTCCGGAAGTCAGACTTCCAGGTAGGGACAGCCCATAACCCCAGGCTGGGAACCCCACCTGAGGATGCTCTAGCCATTGCTCATTCTTACCCAGGAAAGGAGAAAAGAGAAGTGGATTTAATAGGAAAAGAAGGATGGATCAAGGAGGATGTTTTAGTATCTTGAATATCATGCAAATTATGTCAAACAATACCTAGACGGCTTTGATTATACTTAAATCATTAGGTAAGTGACTCAGTATTGGGGGACCAACTTAAGGTGTGGTTAGCAAGTGGTTAGTGGGATAATTCTGCGTCTTGTGTTTTTCTAGTATATATCCGTGGTCGTTGTAGTTACTAGGCTTTCTGAGTGGCTGCAGTGGCCTCGGTGTGCACTACAGCTGGGCACAGTCAGTTTCTCCTCCATCACACTGGGTCTTCCTCCTCATTCGCCCAGCTCTGCTTTCCCCAGAATTCCCCACTGGCCCGCCCCGTGCCCCGCTGGAAACTCAGATGCCTATAGGTGACTCTGGGGTGGTGCTTTTGTTATGTTTCAGTTCAGCTTTAAAATCTTGGGCAAAAAAGCAAGGAGAGGCGAGGAGAGGCAAAGATTCCCCTCTGCAGAAGGTCACTCCAATGTTACTTTTGATTTCTGGAGGGTAACCGTGACTCCCTTCTCTATCCCAAGCGAACCAAGAGCACGTTCTTGGAGGGGAAAGCCTCTTCACCTGTCTCCAGTCTCAGCTGATTTGCAGAATACGTCCTAAAAAAAGTGCTGAAGCCTATTTATTTGAGGGTCCTTGTTTTTGCTACTAATTATGCAGTTCACCATATATTATCCTTCACACCAACCTTCCTGGCCATAACATCTTTGAAAAGAAAAATATATATGTGCAGTATTTTATTAAAACATTTTATTTAAGAATGAAGTCTCGTTGATTACTATATTTTAGGTGCCATGGGATCTGAAGGTTCTAATTCTGGCTCAGCTAAATTTCTAGCTCTTTCTCTATTTCCCTAAACAAATAATTTAGTTTCTGTGTACCTATGTTTTTTCTTTAGCGAAAAAAAGTTGCTTTGTCTTAGGTCAGCCAGGAGTCCCTGTAGAGTTGGGGAGACTTGTAGAGTGTCTGTTAAACACAGGTAGAGTGTCCATGGGACTCAGGTAGAGTTGAGCACATTGACATAAGCGTCACATCGTTGGCCGAGATTGAACATTCGTTACAGACTGAAGGTCAGCATGAGTTGCTCTCTGGGGTCAAACCACAACTTGAGGGCAGACAGGCAGGGTCATTACCACACTAAGCAGTCAGGGAATGCAAGTTGGAGCAGCAGAACAAAACCAGGCAGACTCTGGAATCCATCACCCTGTGTCAGCAAGGGTTGGGGCTATAGTTAAAGAAAGTCTGAACAGGAGAAGTCGCAGCACCAGGGAGTGCTCCAGGGAGCTACTGCAAGTTTTTCTGTGTATTTCATGCGGGTCCATAGGCCTTGACTCATCAGCATAACCCTGGGCCCACCAAGGGCGAGCCCTTTGGAATGTATTTCTTTGGGGAAAGTTGAGCCCCCTACTGCATTTGGTTTCTCCAGGGGGAGCCTGGCCCCTAAGAGACTCCGATGGTTTCACCGAGGGAGAAGGGAAATGGCCTTGTTCTGACTGAGTTGGGCCTCACTGCTCAGGCAGGGCCCCATCTCGGTGGTTTCTTTGTCCTCAGGGACCAAGTCCAGGTTCCTTGCAATGGGATTCGGCGGAAAGTAAACAGTGCCCCCGCCCCCAGCAGTTGGTCAGGTTGATAAAGACTCATAATAACAGATAAAATGTATTGAGTGCTTACTGTATGTCAGACGCCTGTCTATACATTTTATTTGTTTATGCCGTTAACTCAGTTCTCCCGACATCTCCGTGAGGTGGGTGCTATCATTCACCCTCACACTGCACGTGGACAGACACAGAGGGGTTAAGCGTCTTGCCCAGAACGGCGGAGCCAGTTCAAGAACCAAGCAGTCTGACCCCAGGGCCCAGGCTTTGCTCTCTGCCCGCCTCACCCCCGCACCCCACGAGGCCAGCAGGTCTGGCGGCTGTGTCCCACCCCCTTCAGATACCAGATGTGATTCTTAACTCAAGCCATGGAAAATATGATTTCTTGTGGGCAAAGGACGTTACAAAACTTAGAATAATCCTCCCAGTGAGCTACTATTTGTTTCTAAATATGAAGATATCATATTTCAAAGGTGTTTCAGAAAAGAACTCTTAGAACAGGCCTAACCATGTAAGTTTAACAGCAGTGTCGAAAACAACACTTTGTTTTCTTTCTTTCAAGAAAGAGATTACAGCCCTGGCTGGTTGGCTCGGTGGATTGAGTGCCGGCCTGTGAACCAAAAGGTCACTGGTTCAATTCTCAGTCAGGACACATACCTGGGTTGCAGGTCAGGTCCCCCATTTGGGGGCATGTGAGAAGCAACCTCACATTGATGTTTCTCTCCATCTTTCTCCCTCCCTTCCATTCTCTAAAAATAAACTAACAAAATCTTTAAAAAGAGAGAGAGAGAGAGATTACAGTCATGCTCAGACTATCCAGGTCAGACAGTGAGGTAACTTACTATTTCCACAATTGAGTTAGAGCAAGAAGACAGAATTACCTGCAAAGAACGTTTGGTATAAATTCATACACAAGGGTGGAAAATAAGGAGACACCTGGCGAGATGGTTTGCATCAGAGACTCCACAAGCACAGGACTGCGGCCTCCTGCTGGGTGGGCACAGTCTAGAAATGGACGGCCCAGCGGTGTAGGACTTGTGGCGGGGGAAGCCCAGAAAGAGTGTCAGCCCACAATCAGCTCGTAATGCAGCCACTGTATAAGCACATTTTGATCACTGATCTCTCCCCAAGTTATAGAGGTAAATTTGCTTTTGAAATGGCTTCTGAATTCTCAGGATTGGAAATAAGGCAAGTGACCGGTGACGGTTTTAAAGCAAGGTTCATGGCATGTTATAACATAAGCTGATAGATTGTTCTGGCAGTCTGGTAGTTTTAGGGAGGCAGGTGGGGGATGACGCACATGCATGCTACACGTGTGTTATTGCCCGAGGGAAACAGACCCGTTCAGAAAGTGCAACTTCTGCTCTCTGGGCTGAGGTGGCTGCACCAAAGGCTTTTGTTTTTGCTTTAATGCTTTAGTGAAATTTACATAGCTTTTTAAAAATATCTAACAACTTTTGAGAAAGATTTTATTCATTTATTTTTAGAGAGAGGGGAAGGGAGGGAGACAGAGAGAAAGAGACATAGATGTGAGAGGAAAACATCAGTGGGTTGACTCTCATACGTGCCGGAACGGGGACCGAAGGCACAACCCAGGCATGTGCCCTGACCTGGGATCGAACTGGCGACCTTCAGCCCAACCAACTGAGCCACACCAGTCAGGGCTATAACAACTGTTTTGAGATATAATTTACATACCATACAATTTATCCATTTAAAGTGTACAACTCAACAGCGTTCTGTATATCCAGCAAATGGTACAACCACCACAAAGAAACCCCATACCCATCAGGAGTCGCCCCCACGTCACCCCAACCAACCCTCCCCTCCCCGGCAACCAGCAGCCTACTCCTGTCTCACAAATTCGCCTACGCTACACGTTTTGCGTCAGTGGAATCATGCACCACGTGGTCCTCTGTGATTGGCTTCTTTCGCTGAGCATGATGTTCTCCAGGACCACCCGTGTTGTGACATGTACTATCACTTCATTTCTTTTTACATCCAAACAAAATTTCACTGCATGGATATGCAAAATTGAGTCCATCTGTCCATTGGCTGATGGACATTTGGGTTGGCTCCCCTTGTTGGTCATGATGAACAACGTCGCTGTGGACACGTGTGTGTGCGCAAGTCTGTGTGGCGCTGCGGCTTCACGCCTCGTGTGTGCACACACACCTGGGAGCGGGGCCTTTTCGGGAACTGCCAGGCTGATTCTCCAAAGGCTCCGTGAGGAAGTTTCACAGGGTTTGGGGTTTTGCCACCTCTGTTGATTTCCTAGGACCCTACCCTGGACCATAACTTCGTCTAATTCTTTACCTTGAAAGAGTTTTAAAGCGAGATGACTGATCACGCGATCAGATCTTAAAGACAAGATGTCAAGGCGCCCCTCCTACTTCTGGGGGCGGCAGCTCTGCGGTTCCCATGCGCGTTCCAGGAGCATTACGTCTGAAGGCGCATCTGGGTGTTTGACGTTCCAGCCCTTATGAATTCACAAGCTGTTTATAACCTGTCAAAATGTGCTGACTTGCTTCCCTGAAAACTACGACTTTAGCTGTTGAATTATTAACATTCATTGATTTTTGTAACTGCCGGACGAGGGTAGTTACCTCTAAGGCCTGTATGTGTAGACAAAATAGGACCATATCATTTGTATCCAAGAGTTTCTCAAGAGCCTCTGGAGAATGGAAAACACTCTGACCGGATAGAATTCTAATGATGTCATCAGGGAAAGAATCAGGTAGAAATAGAACAAAGACGCAGTTGGCGGAAGCTACTTCGTTAGAGAACCAGACCCTAATGAATCTGGAACAGAAACTAGACATTGTCTAGGTCAGTAACGGGCCACCCAAAGCCCAAAATCTCATTTCAGAGTGAAAGACGGAAAAGCTGCCGCCGGGTTGTTACTTCTTAATAAAAAGAAAAACAGGCTGTAAATATTTTTATTTTTCCTGAATTGGCTCTTATTTCCTTTTAAAGCTCCTCACCACTAATGCTATTCAGAAATTTTCTTTTTCCACCTCACAGATTCAGAAATTAAGGCCTAGAGAGGTGGTCAGTTAGCTCCTCTAAGTCACGTCACTAACCTGTTCCGGGGCCTCGTGACTCTTAGCGGAGAGCAGTCCCCGCTGTGCCCATCTCCCGCGTCTGCCTGGGCTGCTACGTCAACGTGAAGCTGTGGACAGCAGTGAAAGCCATGAGTAATTAAACAGTGAACCTGCTTACTTGAACCAGATCCAGGGTTTGTTAACCAAATTAAAGCCACAGCTCGAATGACTGCGTTCAGGCTGGCCTGTTCCTAATTACGTTATGTGCTCCTCTCTGCCTTTGCAATCATACATCTTTCCAAGGCAGAAATGTAACTGCGGCAAGAAACAACATGGTGTCCTAACTTTGTTGTTGTTGTTTTAGCATGAGGGTAGTTTTGCAGCCAGCAGATGCTCAGAGCCGTCCTCTCTTTCTTCTTTTGCTCTTCGTGTTCCAAAGTCATTGTCTTCGGCTCAGCTCAACGCAACTCCAGCGTGTGAAGGCCGGTAGGACACTTCTCGTTCTGCCCCGTCACAGAACTGGGGATCCGGTCCTTTGTTGGCTGCGTTACTTTCTACCCAGAAGCAAAGAGACTGAAAATCTAATTCCTCCCCCCTCCGTGTGACCGGTTTGGGACTCCTTGGCGGAGACGCGCCATCGCAATTTGATCTCTCCATCCTCGACTTCCACTCGAATCTCCTCCTTCAATACTGTTGGCCACACGCCACTGACCCCTACTTGATCCACCCTCGAACAAGCTCCAGTGAACCTTCTGAGAGACCCAATGTGGCTGAATTGGTTTGATACCCCAAGTGGCAGACATCAATTTCTTTACCTTGGCCGTGCCTCTAGGCTGCCAGTGCGCCCCCCCGCCCCCGACCTGGTCCATCCCCCTTCTCCACAATGACTGCAGGGGAATGACAGTGGCGTGGTCTTTCCCTGTAGACTGTGGTGAGACCAGTGTCCCAATGCAGCAAAGCCTCCAAGGTGCTCCTTAGCTTCAGAAGCCTCAGGCAAGGCCTGACGGGTCCCGTGCTGAAGCAGGAAACGCTGACTCACTGACTCGGCAGGCCCAGCCTTTGATCTGGCTCTCCAAGCTCCGTCAGCAGGTTCGCGCTAGGGGCACCCGCTGCCGCTACCGC